GGGGGTTGCAGGGATGTAGGGATTATTAGAGAGAGTTCTGCACCTTAAGTTCCGTGTATTGTCCTACCTTTTCACTGTGTCACCTAGCTATCTCTATAACATAGTTCCTACTATTGAACGGAGAGGCGCCCAATAACCACAGCACGTGTCACATTACCAATGTCGTGACCTAGAATTAACTTCCCTTTAAGAATTCGGAGAAAACAATCTCAACAATGTTGTATTAAATCAATAAATCAAAATGCTACCAGGGTCCAACACACCTCTATACAGTACCTGATTAGTGTTCGTGTGTATTTATTGTGATGTAGACGTACTGATAAGGCTTTATCTGATATGTTATATATGTCGCCCACTCGTTGTATAAACTATTTCTATATAATAGGAGGCACTAAGTCATACATGTAATTGTCTTTAATAACGATGTGTGTCTTTATACAAAATGTAAATTTGCTTGCATTTTTCTTCGTCCTAGATATATTTTTATATTAATAGCGCATCATGTCAAAGTTGACACACATTTAGAATATGTTGTCGCTCTGAAACGGGATTTAACGGATTTTGACAATTTTTCCTAATATCGTATTTACGGTCACGTGATGCAATGACACGTGAAGTCGCCGACCTGTCCATCTCGGTGTATGTATTGACCTCAACCTATATACGTTGTATGGGAAAATCATCAATCGGCGAATAAAGACATCAGCAATGTTCTAAAATCCGAAAAAGAACTTTCAAGCCTGCATCACGGAAACCTAATTCCGGGCCAGAATCAACTACATGCAATGTAACTTTAGACTGAGTCACAATAATACACAGTTTACACACATAAATATCTTACCGCTGAATTAAAATGTTTTTTGATTACCTGTAAGTCTTACCACTTATTATATCATAGCCAAACGGCATTTACAATACCTACCTGTGAATTAACAGATGAACTAATTACCGGATATTTCATCAAAAACACCCATGGTCGAAAGGAGTTCGAAGGGTAAAACCAATAATGAGACAACGACCAAACATGTGTTGAGGACTAGCAGGAGGAATACAGGTCATAGGTCATTTGTCATTTGTCAGCAGATTTCAGAACATTTTTGACTCTAAAACGTCGCAACATTAAACTAGCTCTTATGTCATACATATTTATTTTGTTTTAAATCAGGTTTCATTCTGGGTAGCCGCTGATTTACATGAATATCTTATAACGTCACTGCCATGTCAGAATCGTCCTCCGATTTCAATTTTTACTTAAATATGGTGTTCGTCCTCTCTTCGGCTCAAATTGGTAGATTTAATTGAATTAGGCATGTAGTCTATGCCGAGAACCACAGACGTGTCTATTGCAACAAATAAGGAATAAAGAGGAGGTGTACATGTAGTTCCTGGTTGATTAAGTGGTTTTACTTCCACTCCACTACCGAGTAGTTCGGTTAACCATACTCGGAAGTGAAAAGGAAGTAAAACCACTCAATCAGTCAGGAGCTACCTCATAATGTCGGGAATCGAAAACAAAATACCTGCTGTTACCCACTGCATGCATAATAAGAGCCAGCTAATGTGGGAACCTCTGCAGAATTGGGGATATGATTTTCTGTACCCTACTTCGGGACACAAGAGCAACCAAAATAAATCTACTGCACCAATTGCAATAGTTGTGAGCTTTATATTATTCTCTATCTCTAACTACCTTTTATTTCCTAGTGCCTTGCTTGGCTACACCTCACTTTTGGCTTTACACCAGCATGGAGGTCACATTATTTATTTTTATGAAAGACAAGGCAAGAATATTTATTTCAAAATAATGTCAGCACCCTCTCTTCCCATCTCAACAAAATAGTAGTTCGTCCCCTTAGAAGTGAGTTATGCACCAGTCATCATCATTCTTTATTCCTCACAAATGAGGGTACCAGATCTATAAACTCAAATGAAAATAATTACAACATTCACGTGAATAACTTGGCGGCGAGGGGAAAGTACAACTGTTGGATATTCCCTCCGTCTATTAGATCATACACTATGGTACTGCTTCAGCACAAAAATAGATCTGCGCTGCTTTCTGTAGAGGATATGCACAGTCTCTCGTAAATTCTTTAGTCAAGTAAATCTCCTCGAATTCAAAATCTGGAATTGTTCCTCTAAATATGGCACGAAGCAGGTATTTTTCTGTTAAGTTTGAGAGAGCTATATATGACTGAACACCGTAACAATCTGCTACATTTGCATTAAAAGTATCTCTTAGGATAAATGTTCTAGGACAGTCTGTAATAAAATGCCTAATGGTATCATTATACGGTTACCTACATAGCTAACAAATATCAATCTGTTCGATTGTGGGACACGCAAGTGGTCATTTTACAAATATATGGAACTGTTGCTTTGCCGATGTCTGGCGTTTTCAGCATTGTATATGGTTCCATGTAGGTACTACGGATTGTGTCTCGTGAGTTATGCACCAGTGCGTTAGGAAGTGGGTGATATCAACGTTTACACAATTAATGAGGCCAACTTATATTTAACCTTGCGATTCATTCATATACGTACATTTAGGTATGTGTATTAGACAGTACCGGCTTACCTGGACGTAAATCTTATTCGAGTTCCCGGAATCGTAGGGCACCTAGATTAAGGACTTCCTCTGTGCTATGATATGGCTGTAATCAGTTTATGCCGACATGCTACTGGAGCAACACGTATCAACGTTTAGCTGGGAACAGTCTATGTTCAGGCTACGGAGCCTGTTACAGTCAAGTAGGTCTCTCTATGTCTCTATGTGTTATCCACAGTGTATACCATTAGTTAATATTATGAAATTATATCATGTTATATATTTTTTTTACGTTAACAAAAATTGAAACAAAGCTTAGTCATACTGCATAACCACAGAGTGATTTACATAAAAAATAACTACTTTAAAAGTAAAGGGCTCAAAATATCTAAAGCATGATACGAAAAAATAAACTTTATTTATTCACTGGGAATGCTTTTGAGGCATCAACGAAATAAAGAAAATTTGTCTGTACATTTATTCGGGACCATTTACATATAATTTATAGAATGTTTTGATTGAATATCATAAAAGAGATAGTATTTATTTTAACATAACAACTGTATAAGTGGCAACAGTGTAGACAATTTTTAGGAATTCTCAGAGCAATTGATCAATTTATTTGTTTTTAGGACAATTAAAATATGGGAAAATATTAGTGTAGATACCAGGAATTATATAGTTCATACAGAATCTATATAACTTACCCCTCACCCCATCCCACCCCAACCCCTAATATATAATGTACTATGTTTATACAAACCATTTTTTGATTAATCGGTATTACTGTCACTTTTTATTGGTTCATTACTTAGGTGTATATCGTTTAGTTAGATAGGACGTGTATAACATACTTGATCTATATGCTATATAGTTATAAGTAGTACTTGTAGACACGCGTTTGTTGTTGCGATATAGTTATAAATAGAGAATGGTTATTTTCGTTTGCTTTCATTCGTCAATCTGTCCTATGTTATAATTGTGATACATCACTTGTATTTTACAGCTGTACCGGTATTCTCTTATTTCTATTTGCATCAAGTCATGATTATCATGTTGCGGTTGGGGTCTATGTTATGAATAGACATGTATTGTCAACTTTTAGCATTTGTTTTCGACAGATGTTCACTGTGTAGAGTTCTACACGCGATTGACTGTTGTTATAAGGATAACTATTATATATTATACATATTATAGTTGTATAATATTTAATAGAAACTTCATAACGCATTAACAGTTTGTAAATTTTATAAATTTACATCTAAAACGTGTTAATAAGTCTGTATTGAAGGACAAGCACTGAGAACTATTGCGAACAATTTTGATTATGTAACACTGAATAACAACTGTATGTGTTTGTCTTGGTTAATATTCAGCATTAATCACGTGTATACCAAGTAGTGTTTTGACTTGGCGACCTGCTATGTAATCGTATGTTATCCCATTTCCATAACAATCTTTTTCACTACTGAGAGAGATATAGTACGAGACAGAAAACCTTCTTTAATTAACACATCTTCATCTTGTATATGTGTTTATGTAAACGAAGTATTAACTAATTTGTTTCCGTATAGCAAACCACTCCTGTGGTAGGGACAGCTAACCGACTCCGGTCCTGGTACGTGTAGTGACATCACTGCGGTTTCGTTTTCTACTCAGTGCGGATTTCCAGCGTGTATCCACTATTAATGTCCATCAAAACTAACAATGAAAAGAAACTGACACCTTGGGCTTGGATGTGAAACAGACGTATAACCATTAAAGCTTCTTAAATCTAATCTTCAATCTAGTCTAAATATAAATGTTCATGTATTGGTTATTATATTCTGAAAGTAAAATGCAAGAGATTATATAAAACTTCCCGCTGCATCCTGTATGTAATACCTCATTTTTGTTTATATATAGGTATAAAGATAATGGAGTGTTGAATCAATGCCTATTTGTAATGCATGTAGGCAACGGCACACGTTTAAGGAATGGACTGATCATCACAATACACTTTATATATATATATATTTACGTAGTTATCGGACAACATCGATACCAGATTCTAAATTAAAGTCAATATAAAAAAATAGGAAGAAAGACTTATATCAGGATGATAACTGACATGATTTAAACTGCATGTTGGAAATTCTCAATTCATATTATGAAAAAATGTAAGCATTGATTATTACCGAGAAGGTGTAAAATCGTATTTTAGATGTGTATTGAATCAATTGTTAGCATGACTGATTCTATTATAAGCTAAATAATGTATACTTCTAAATGTCAGTGTCATTATATCGATGTTTGACAGAAACACAGATCGAGACAAAGATGATGTTCGAGGGTTCATATAAGATATACATTTACATGTCTATTTCAGTAATTGACTTTGTACTAACAGGACATTTCTGATCATCATGAGTTGTTTAAAACGACGCTTAACGCTATTTTTTTTGGTTTCCAGCCAAACATCCTCAACAATGGAGCAAGCATGAGGTGGGTGTGTGGCTCAAGTGGTGTTCGGAGGAGTACAGTATTGACCACATCCCTCCGGACAAAATAGACATGAACGGTAAAATCATTATTATAAAGGAAACGTGACTCATACATCACTCCTTTTCTCTCACTTGGACACCTAATGTCAAACTACACTCTCACACACACCTAGACACACCTTAGATATAAAGAGACTGGTTAGCAGTCAAATTATCGGGGGGGGGGGGGGGGGGGGGGGGGGGGGGGCGGACCGTGGATCGTTTTATACAATCAATAATAAAATAGTCGTTTAAGTCAGGTTTCATCTATTTTCTTTTCTTTTCTTATCAAGTCCGTACAGAAGTCCTCCATTTTAGCTCAAAAAAATCAAACCCTAATCAAAACTTCTAAATGGAAGCAAATTAAAACAAAAGCGTGAATTTAAACATATGCTTTATTGAGTGTTTGTACTTCTGTTTTAGTTTGAAATCAAACTCGCTCACATGTCATTCTTGCAAAAATTCTATTAATAACAAATCACGTTTTTGAAATTTCAAACACCGCTAGACATTCTTCAACTTTATTATCTGTGTAACACAAAAACAAATAGATTGCAAACGTACAAACACCCACACCTAAGTATTATTTCAGGTCAATCAGTAATGGTAACAGATCAGCCTTTTTTCGGTTTCCACCGCGTCTTCCTCGTCATGCATATCACACAAGCAGACGACCCCGAACAGAGGAGACGCGCGCGCGACATCTCTGTCATATCGGCATTGTACCGCTGCCCACTAGGAGCTCTCACGCGACTTAATTTAGAAATTCTATCTGTGTTGAAACATTTGTTTTAACCACAATCGTACAGGCTAAGGTAACTCTTTTATGTCGAATAGTCGGTGAATTTCCGCTTATTCCGGATACTATGTCCGATCTGTGTAACATCACAAACTGGGCATACTGTGTGCAGTATTAGTTTGGCGTTGAATGGTTAAATGGTTAAATAGTTTTGCTGTAAAAAATGACTTGACGGATATCAATTATCGCCTGTACTTTCCGTACATTGTTTAGCATAAATATCATCGAAAAGGGTGAAAACACTTTTTTTTCTAGCGCTAGATGACAGCCGATTTTCTACTTCCAGAGAAGAATTTACCTAAAACTGTTTAGACTAATACCTGCAACACTATAGATGAAACGGTGACAAACACTAACTGTGACATCTGTTTTCTTGCTCTCTTACGTTATCTAAATCACATTGGGTTGGGTTCCTACAACATATTAACATATCAAATATTCTTTAAATTAACACAGGTAAAGCGTTATGTCTACTGGGTCGTGAGGACTTCATGGCAAGGATTCCAAAAAATGGTGACCTCTTATACAACGCCCTACAAAAACTTGTACAGCGAAACCCTGGTAAGTTTTCATGCTTATAATGTCTTTAGCAAAAGCTGATTACCAGTGGGGGAAAATATAGTATATGCAATATATTTACTTTAATCGTGTTTCAATGATTATCTCGATAAGATATCGTTTTGTTTAACACGCGCACCTACACACCTATAACGTCTTGATGTTGATCCTTATAAAAAGAAGTTCGTAAAAAAGAATTTGTGGAAAATACAAATTGTGAACCATAACATTTGTGTGGAAATGTATTCATATTTAGATTGACGTCATTGAAGTGTGAAGTGTTGTGTATATTGACAAACAGGAAAATGAAACCTTTTAAAGTCTACACACACAAAATGCGTATTAGAATGAACGAGTTCGAGCGACAGTAAGTCTTTGTTCAATAAGAAAGGAGCGAACTTTCCGTTTATCACGTCCTATCAAAAAGCATCATATCTTTTCTCGAATTACCAAAGCGTCATTTTTTCTAGGCGGAAGTATATTTAGGAATGGGTATAAGTAACATTTTCATGTATAAAAATAGACAGCAAAAAAAGGAGCTGTTTGACAACCGATAACCGCATTAAGCTGTGTATTCCCATGTCTTCATAAACAATATTAACCCTCTCCCGAGATCATGTTGACGTTAGTGTTTTATTTATCACTTCGTCCTCTGATGGAGTTATATTCGTGTGACATTTAATTTATAGAGTAGTGTGCATCGATTTGTATATTTCGTAAGTCGTTCAAATAATAGCATTCGTATTCAAACCATGGACTTTCCATATTTTGACCTCCCATTTAAAATACAACCTGTTAATTGGACATATATTTTAGGCTCTATATGTCAACCATTGTCGTAATTGTTATAAAAACTTGATTTTCTTTGCATTATTAATATTGAAATCCCTCTCGGAAACAACGTTAAGCAATGAAACAGATTATCGATAGTATTTTGAAAACATGATTTTTACAAATACAACCATGTAGTAAAAAGATGAATTTGTTTTTCAAATACTCATACTTTTAACAAAATATTAAACGCAGGTCCTAATGAAAAAAAAATATATGAAAATCCTTTCATATTAAAATTTACCAAAAGAAAAAAGATATACTTGGGTTGATATTATTTACGCATTTAGGTTTGATATCCACAATAAACCACCGGGTAAGTAACACTCACAGACTGTATGACAGCTAGTTTATATTGCTCAACATACAAGTAGTACTTGATAGCTCCGAAAGTCGCCTCACATTCCTTACACTTCACTTCCGGTAGATGTTTATCCACCAATATCTAAAAACCCGGATGTAATACCAACGATCTACATATCAACGTGTAATTGCGCACGTAACAAGAAAACACATTCTGTTTTTGTTTTTTGTTGTTGTCTTTTATCAGGATTATATTTCCTTTATACGGAATGTTTATTTCAAGTCTGTGTGGATTGTTTAATTTCGAAAAATGACATAAGCCTACCATCCTTAAAATTTCATGTAACAATTAGAATTCCATAAAAAATCATATTTTAATCGGATAACATGTAAACGACGGAACAAGACTTCGCCGTTAGTTGACATGTCACCAACATAACATGGCAACTGACTTAGTCGACTTATTACTAACAGAACAGGACAACTAACATTGATGACGTATCACAAAAAGAGTACGACAACTGACTTAGTTGACTTATTACTAACAGAACATGACAACAAACATTGATGACGTATCACAAAAAGAGTATGACAACTGACTTTGTCGACTTATCACAAACAGCAAATAACTGTCTTAGCTGACATATCAGACAACTGATCAAGTTGACATGTCACAAACAGAACATGACAATTGACCTAGATATCATATCGGTAGCATAACATGCCAACGGACCTAGATTATATGTCACTAACAGAAAATGACTATTGACCTAGTTGACATGTCACAAAATGTACATGACAATTGACTTAGTTGACATGTTCCCAACAGAACCTATATATCATATTACTAGCATAACATGGCAACTGACTTGTTTTATATTTCCCCAACTGAACATGACAACTGACCTAGTTGTCATATCACCAACAAATAAAGACAACTGGCCTTGTTGACGGGTCGCTATCAGAACATGACAACTGACCTTGTCATATCACCAACAAAAAAAGACAACTGACCTAGTTGTCATATAACCAACAAATAAAGACAACTGACCTAGTTGACGGGTCGCCATTTGAACATGACGACTTGCCTTCGTGACATGTCTCTGTAATAGCACATTATTTTCATCAGGATATGACGACTGACCTAGTTCATGTGTCACTAACAGAACAGGACTGCTAAGTTAAAATTCCATTCGAATATGGTTGTTATTCACTTAAGAACTATTTTTAGTAGCATAAAGAAACTGCTTATAAATTTGACATAGTAATATCTTCATTTAAAAAAAGTAAATGAAAAACAAAAGTGATTCATCTTGTTTTAAAACACTCCGTCCCATTCATCAGCCGTCATAAATGCCTACGCCTTAAATAAACGAATCTCTGATTTATATCTACCGTATGCCTGAACCGGATATGATTTGCTGATCAATATGCATAAATGAATTCAAACGTGAAATTAAACTAAATAGTTTATCAATCAATTTCGTTTTATTACTCCGTTAAGTACTCACTTTAAAGGTGTTCAGAGTTCTGTTTATGTTGCTTGTCCCGGATATACTAGTTTTGCTAAATGTACATCCGGCTAGACAGGTTATAAGAGTTTATGCGATTACGGAAACATTACCACTTAGCAAAGAAATACTGAAAGCTTCGGGGTTGTTGGTTTTTGGTGGTGGTGGGGAACTACATCCAAAAAAATGTAATATTCTAATTATAATTTACACTGTTTACAGAAATGTTTGTATGATAATTAATCTTGTGCTGAAAAATTCTGCAATTTGAACGAGATGTAAAACTGATTTTTTTTCTAATCTAGCTGGAAGTTGATTTGATCCTACTTGTGATTAAAATATGCAAACATCAGTGGTCCAACATTTAACTTACGAATTGAAGGTGTGAATCTTATTATTTCAGTTCTAGATAGCGAGGTTCAGTCATTTATCTTTCTAAACAGTTTATTTGCTTTAAAACAGAGGTTATTGGTAAAACACAAACACACAATTGATGTTGTAGAGTTCATGTTTACATAAGAGCTAATACATGGAAAAGAGCAATACATTCAGTCCACTTAGATGTAGTAAATGTTAGCATCAGCAATATACTATCAGAGAGGGGAAAAACTTTTAGAAGGTTTTTTTTATATTCAAACCGGATACAAGGCTCATTGGCCAAAGTGAAAGTACATATTTTACCGCGGCAAAGTGTTTTGTCGGGGTAGATATATGTATAATTAAGCAGCTGTGGACTAAGTGTGTTTGGGGTTCTTTTCTGTAGCAAACCTGGTCTGTTCGCCAGTGCCGACGTCGTATCGTCCGTCCATACTTCCACCTGTCAGCACCAGCTATTCAACAGCAGCATTTCAGCAAAACAGGGGAGGTAAGCTAAAATATATAAAGAATTACAATTAATATGGATATAAAAGATTACAAACACATTTGACTGGTGTTTATAAGTAACCTTAGTAACCGTTCGTTAGATAACGTCATCGACAGTAATATATATAATATCATCGTTAATTGATCTGATACAGTTTATAATTACCAAGGAAAGGTCTGTGCAGTAAATCGTTAAAAGGGCAAAAAGTATTAAGCGAAAATAAAATGATCAAAAGACGCATTAACGTCTGTTTGTAACCAAGGAAATGAAAAGATGTAGATGGAACTGTTTCTGCAGTTGATATCGGACAACATTTTCTCCCCTACTCGTATCGCGAATAGGGCCCAGCAGTTGTATCATTTATGTGTTGATTTATGTCTTACTTAGTCGTAGGCTTATACTTCCGCTCGTGTTAATGTAAGTATGGAGGTAAGTATAGATAGGTCATTAGTTCCTGTCGTTATATATCCGTATATGGCTTGACTAACTTTACGATAAACAACCCACAGCCGGATATGTCAAACACGTATTAATTATAGCTAATGGTATAAGACATACTACAACTTCAGCTTAGTCATAGGCACTGTGTATTGTGTATAGACAACACACACACTACCTGGTACTAGGTGATAAAGTAAGGGGTTTGCCGCGCGTGATGTGACAGAAGACTGACCATGACTCACCCTCGCCTTCGCTAATATCCGGTTCCAGCTTGTTTACTTATTAAAGGTTTTACCTCAGAAGTCTGCGGTTTATCTTGTCAAGTATCATGATGTTGTCATAAAACAAAATAAAGAAGGTTGGACGCTTCATAACTGAAATTTGTGATCCTCCTTCTTAAAGAAGTTTTTCTTATTATCAGAATGTGATCGTGAGTAAATAAATGTTAAGCGCAGATATATCAAGACATGTCAGGTGATGTATGAGAGTCAGAACAGGATGAGATCATTAATATAATCAATATGCAACATCCAATATGCTTTTTTGGGCTTTTTTATAATGTTTTAAATATGGTTGTTTATATAAATTGATATTTACAAACTTTCACGTTAGCGACCATTATTGTTTTCATGCCCGGCCGTGTCACCTAAGCTTCGTCTGTGTAAACGATTTAGTTCTGATGGAAATGGTTTTTTTTACGTGGAACATCGTTACCTTTTCAGGTTATGCAGATTTTATTTCATGATCATTAAACTACAAACCACATTGAGATTTTTTTCGGAAAATTATATAATGACAGCAGTTGACGCGTGTCGTGAAGCTGGAATATTTCATTTTGATGGTAGATAAGACAGAAAAAAATCTAATATAATCATGTAAAATATTAAACTTTAATCATTTTTTTAAAACAATTTCGAAACAAATTCTATCAGCTTAGTATTAATCGTTCTTGTTGGTCCGGGTAGTAGTGCGGGAAAGGTGTTAATGTGGGAGGAAATCGGAGTACCTGGAAAAAACACGTTGTCGGGCAGGTGACCCCATACCTTTTAACGTTTGATCGGGGAACCGAGTGCGCCATTAACTGCGCCACCTGACCACGGCTATCAGACATGGATAGAAATTCCCTCCCTAGTGGATGATTAGTGGTGGGAAAACACTCAGTAGAATGTTAAGTTTGACCCAAATGTATGATCCCTACGGGAGGAATTCTTCTACCGACTCTATTAAGTATTGAAGTATTGGTCTAATAGTATAACAAGTATGACAGTATAGATTCACTTATAGACACGAACTTAAACATATTATGTAAGAGTTACATTGCAAAAGATTCAGTTGTTTGAATATAACAGAGTATCACGGTGACTTAAAGTGTGTTTATTCTATCTATCAAATGCATGTTTGTATGATGTCGTAACTGTTTTGATGTTTGTGTCAATAACTTCTTTTTTCTCTCTTACAGATACTAATCCTAACGCCGGACTGATCGTCCTAAGCTCTTCTGATTCCTCACATCCTACAACAACGTCCTCTCCTGCTCTTCTAGGACATCAACAACGTCCACTGGTCACAATTTTACCTCAGCCACCCAAGGCCACTCCCCTTCATCTCCATAACCCGACCGTCGCCAACCATAACACACCTAATTTGCATCAAAATGACGTATTATTACCGCCTACATCCGTACCAGGTAGGCGTGCATATTGAACATTTAACAAATCCGTGTAAAATAAAAACATTTAGAAAATACGCCAGTTATATAATTATATATCTAATATCATTGGCGTCTATGAAATATTCATAGGATTAAACATAATCTATTGATAAGACATCTATCTGCAGGCAAAATGAAGAAACAATAAGCTTAATGCAATATGTATACAATTGTAATACATTACGGTTTGTTACAGAAAGATAAATCATACTCAAAAGTGTAAACATGAAAAAAACAGGGTATTAAAAGTCATACAATGTACTGATCTGTAAAGTCATTACAAACTACTAGTAGCACTGTTAAACGATTTTTGTTTTGAAGTATCTTTGCTTTGAAGGAGTGTAAAGCCTTGCCCCTAAATGATTTTTGCTTTGAAGGAGTGTAAAGCCTTGCCGCTAAATGATTTTGATTTTTGTTTTGTAGGAGTCTAAGCCTTGCCTCTAAATGATTTTTGTATTGTAGGAGTCTTAAGCCCCGCCCCTACGATTGCTGACACTGACAGCGCATCCGATGAGGAGCCAGTGACGGACCCGGACGGTAAATAGATATGGCATATTGTCTGAATGTCGCGTGTCGAAAACCATTAAAAGATGTTGGCCACTTTTTTTTACATTTTGTAAAAATGAGCGAAACCTGTACTATACTTAAATAAATATCTATCATCTGAGTACCGAGAGTGACGGGGTCCCGGTCATTACACGTATTATTGCATCAAATGACCGTTAAATACGAAATTATAAAAAGTCGTGGCTAAACCCCTTTAACAAACCACCTAAGTTATTTGCTATTGGACACAGGGAATAGTCGAATTATGGTGTTGGTTCTGAATTCAATTTTAATCAAGTTCTGTTTTCTTTTTTTTAATGCAAGTATAACAGTAATACAGCAGCATGAAAAGCATTAATATGCAGGAGACCTAGTAAATAACATTGCATCATCTATTATATATATTATACGCATATCTTTTCCACGCTATTAATACTGAACTAGTGTTAGCTTCATCAACTATCGCAAAGGCTAAATAGTCGAATTCGTCATATTATAATGGGTGTTTCTAGATACATTACCCCTTTCGCTGTATTTCTACAAGTTTGATTTCCTCGGAACAATTAAACTTGGATTTTCATATTACCACCGATGGGCCCTAAACAGACGAAATGGCTATATGTTGCAGTAAACTGTTTAATTTGTGTGGCTATATTCGTCGAGAAAATAAATATATTGCTGGTGAAATCGACACAAAATTCAATACCATTGTCGCTTAATATAAAAACAGTTGGCACCACACCCACCAGCGTTTGTTTGTGTAGGGGTCATCATTTAGCTGACTCGCGGGATTTAATTTGTCCTGCCCAAAAGACTTTATAACTTTGCATATTTCCTCTGCAGGATCGGGGCATGAATACGCTGGGTGTCCCATTGATCGGGGATTTTCTTTTGTGTCGTTTACTGAGGAAATATTGAAAAAACATATATAACCTTATTTCCATTTTCCAGTCAAAAATGCAAAGTCGGTCTTGGTAACATCTGTTTCAGAAGCTGAGAAAATACATGAGGAGAATAACTTATGCGACACCATGGCATTCCCTCCCAACATGCCGTCGGCACTTTCTTCTGGAGACTCAGCCCTGTCACATTCGCTCATGCTCCGCAAACAGGACTCCGGTAGGTCACATGATATCTTAGTATTTCGATACAAAAATGTTATTGTAATGTGGATGGAAAACTAATTTGTCCTAAAATGTAACCGAATTTCTGTCATGATGTCGATTAAAAACTCTCTATTCACAAAATAGAATGTTGCAGAGTTTGAAATTTTCCACACATGACTTAAATTAATGACAAATGTTTGAATATTTTACAGAGTGTCGTTTGCTCTGGGAGTTTATATATCAACTGCTACAGAACCCCCAACATTACAGTAACTACGTGTGTTGGGAGAACACACATGATTACGTGTTCCGAATAATAAATCCCACAGGCCTCGCCCAGCTGTGGGGACACCAGAAGAACAGGACCAATATGACGTATGAGAAGCTATCCAGAGCTCTCAGGTACTACTACCGGATGAACATCATTAAAAAGGTCTCGGGTCGTCGCCTCACATATCAGTAAGATTTATTTTAACTTTCCTTATATGCTGTTTACAGTACATCCACAGTCAGGCTGGTTTCTCTGTTGTTTTTCTGTTGTTTGCTATGATGATTTTGGTGTATTGATAGTCACAACAAGACCTTTCTTGTTGCGTCAAACATCATGACGCGGTCGACAAACATGACAGCGAGACAGAATTAACACGTAAAAGTATACACGATACTGCAAAATAAACATTTAGTTCAGCTACATCAATATATTTATTACGGTACACTCGGAATCCCTTATGCTTTTATATTAAGGGGGAAAATGAAACAATATGATGTCCCGGTGTCCACATAAATGGATCACTGTCAGATGACTAATTCTCTAAATACTCTGCTAAATTCTGAAATCTTTGAATTTAAAATATATTTAAGGTGTCATATAAAACCAGAAACACTTCAATTGAGGTATCGTGTTTGTTACTTGCACATTCAAGTAGTGGAAGACTAATGTAGTTTCATATGCATATATTTAAAATGGTGAAATATTATTTCAGGTTTCTCCAAGCTCCGTCCAAAATCCAAAAGGGTCAGAGAGGTGCGAAACCCCACAGTAAAACCATATCACCACCCCATACGCCGGTCAAGCACGAGGTTGAGGAGGAGGAGAGTTCCGAACGGGTAGAGGAGGTGGATGAACGATCACAAACTTCACCCAACATTCCGTCAATTATCAAATCAGAATATCACTCCAGTGACACTTCACAGAATAACTTCACTAATCACTTCTGTAATGATTTTACGTCTGGACTTCCCTTCAACGACGGTTTTATGAATATTCCTAAAAGTGTTCATCAGCACGATGATGGCATCATGAGTGGATTCCACCTAACAGACACTGCTGATCACATTGAAAAAAGTAGAGTGAGTCCGAGTAACTCTTTATGTCTTGAAGGTGTACCGAAAATGTTCAATTCGAGCGGAGTAAAATCTGAAGGAGGAACGCCGTCTAGGAACTCACCCTTTTCTGAAGACACAGAAACATCGGTAAAAATAGAAGCTCAAAGTGAGCCAGAGGATCTGTCTATGAACACATTAAAACGTCAGTACTCGCAGACTTTTAATAATACACTGGAGGAAAGTGTTGTGAAACACCAAAGAGACAGCCATGGTAACCGTTTACCAGTCAACGCGTTATTTAAACAACTCAGCTGACGGTCATTCGTGTCACGTCAGGACATGTGCTGTTAACGGTTTTTACAAATACCTACACACACATTTTATACATTCCCTACATTATAGAGTAGGCAGTACGTTTTCTCGACAGAACAACGAAAGTGTATCCTTACAGTGCTTTCTATTGTATTACGCCCGTATAGATTTATACATGTTAAACCAGATGGGTTTTTTTTCAAATTATTTTAAATATGTATTTGCATATTAGTGATTAGTTTGATACTTCCAAAACATATTTATGAGTAAGAAGGATTCGAGGATTAGTTTGTGGAAAACAATTGATCTGATAAGTAAATTAGATGCTTCCTAATGTAGTATTGCGATCAAAATTATTTCCTTCTAAGATCGCTTTCTTACGACTTCCATTCCAAAACCCTATATTTTAAACATTGAATTGAAAGTACTTTCAATATTTTAAAAGTTTGTAAAATAAATCTAAATGCATCTTATCCTTAGTTTATAGTATGCTGGTCAAGGGAGGCTACTCCATATTCTACATACAGATCAAGTAAGGATAGAGTTAATCTCAGTACAGCCATACAACGGTTCAGTCATTTAATTCTCACTCTAATGATTACTAGAAACCGAATTATGTCATGTTTTATTCAAGTTTAGATAAAAAAAAAGCATCTTGAGATATTCCACAAATTGTACTATACTTTATCGGGTACAATCAATATGTTATCTTCAAACGTTTCTCTGAACGCATGAACAATTCTCAGGATACAAAAAATGGGATCATTCTTTCCTAAAACGGATAATAAAGTGTTTTGAAGCATTCATTGTTCAGATTAAATGGGTAGTTTAACAATAGGTAGATCAACTAGTCTTGCTTCGCATTAAATACCTCACTAACATGGTTTAGAGATACTTGAATCACGATGAGAAAAAAATAAGTATAATAAACACTATTTTTGATGTTTCGTATTTAAAACGATGTAGAGTCATCTTTATATTTGTTTCATTTGAAAAACTTCTATCTATTTCAAAAGCGATTTCTCAATCGAATGTTAAATGTATTTATCATTTGACATCTCGAGGAACTCGACGCCTTGGAAGGGTCTCTTACTAACCAGTCTATGAAATATCTAGATAAAATGACTAATATGTAACCTATCAAAATATCCATAATTAAATAAATGTGTTAAATATTTCAGATGCTCTGATGTTAAGTGTCCCAACCTAGAGTCGAGAAGCTACGAAATGGATTTTTTTTTTCCATACAGTATATTAAGCAAGAAAGTCAGGATTCAAAAACATTTTCTCATAATCGCTACTGATGTATTATGTTCACTTTACTGTAAACAGCTGAATTTGGTTGTGGAAACATGAAGAAAAAGCTGTTTCTTACAAAGGTAGAAAAACGTGTGATTCTGTGTATCATTTCGGGAAATAGATCATTGGAGACTAGGTTAAAAGAAGACAACTGCACTCGAACAATCTGTAGGATGATGACTTGTTGAAAAACGGTTGTAACATATAAAACTAGAAGTGATATATATTATAACTTGATGATATAAAACTGCTAAAGACGTGTTGTCACATATGCAATAAAATCTGCAATTTGTTTTTTGTTCTTCAACATGTCAAATGTTGGTGTTATCTATATATTTAAAGAAAAGAAAAAATCGACCGCGTGCCTGTGCAATGAACTATTCATAAGAATGTGAAGTGAACTAATGACATGTTTATGTGCTATAAACCGTTCATAAGAATGTGAAGTGAACTTATCACATGTTTCTGTGCTATAAACCGTTCATAAGAATGTGAAGTGAACTAATGACATGTTTCTGTGCTATAAACCGTTCATAAGAATGGGAAGTGAACGTATCACATGTTTCTTTGCTATAAACCGTTCATAAGAATGTGAAGTGAACTTATCACATGTTTCTGTGCTATAAACCGTTCATAAGAATGTGAAGTGAACTAATCACATGTTCCTGTACTACAAACTCATAATAATGTGAAGTGAACTTATCACATGTTTCTGTGCTATAAACCGTTCATAAGAATGTGAAGTGAACTAATTGCATTCATGTTATTATTATTGCATTTCACCTTAAGTTTTCAAACTACAATGTACATTGAATTGTAAAGAATAGTTATGACGTCACCTTATTTGCATTGTTACGAAATGTAATTTTACGTATAAACGTGTTATGTACCATTATACTGGTCGTTACAATACATTCACTTGTTTTCAAGCATAACACTATTTTGTCGTTAATTGTATTCTGGTGCCGATATATCCTATAGATATATTGATAAGCATGTCTTCTTATCATTTGTAAGTAAGTATTTCTAGTAGATATGTATAAAACTTTCAAAATATCTTATTATCGGTATAAAAGATAATATATCCAGGAAATGCACACACTTGTGCCTTTACATAGTATTAGCATCTTACATGTAACATAACTTATATATATCAGAAATCCTTATAAGGTGTTATCTTTATCTAATGAGATATTTTATTCGTATTACAAAACTCCTCGTAATTTTAGAAATCCATTTTGAGTTGGCTTGCTCTTTACTTCCCATGATATTTAATATTCAACTAACAGAAATTAGGGTAATAAAACTAATATATAAATATTCAAATTATAAATTGGTAATAATATCTAAAAAAAGAATCAAAAAGAATCATTTTTGGATTACCAGTGCCTCGGGTATCAAAGAACCAATGTAACCAAAATCCTATACTTCACCTCAATGTTTGCCGATGTGATAAGGGAATATTGAAAAAAAGGATAACAGCTTCAAGACTTCCCTAGCTTACCAACATTGTTAAAGGTCACGTTCACACAACTTCCTGATGCCTAGTATAAATTCTAAACGCAAAAGCACGTGACGATTACAATCTGATTTATTTAGTGCCTGCTTTGAATATATTGTATGTTAAAGCTTTATTCGAACTATCTTTTGATTGAAATAAATTCCCTACTCGATTACTACTGACCCAGCTGTATGTCTATTGGTTGTTTAGATAGCCAATGACAATAGAGAAATTTGCACACCTAACAACCGAGACCCAAATTCGAGCACACAGCTTAGATCAACACCATCCAGGAAGTTGTCGTTAACGCGTATGATAAAAATATAATATCTTATATGATCAGGACCGTCAAATTACAACTTTACAGATTATACATGTATAGAAAATGGGAACTAAAGTCTACTCTTATATGATTTAAAGTGAGAAAACAAATATTACTTTAGAAGACAAAAACTTGTGTAGCTATTGAACCTACATATGAATTGGTTCTAATCGATTTACTCCCAGGTGACCTCACACTTCAATCACATTAACAAATTATGCTTGGCTTAAGGATGCTATGTATTAAATGTTTTGGGTCTCGTCTCCCTAATCTCCCTGTTAGCATTCTTCTAGTGTACACCATTACCTCACCTTGGCCCAGGAATGATTAAGCAATTAAAATCCTTATCATTATATGGGGACTCACCTCTTTGCCTTACCATAGACATACTAAGCTAAAAGAAATGCGCGGGACAAGAGTATCCAATACTATTTTAGTGTACATTCTGGATGTGTTGATGGGTGACCACCGATATGCTTGAGATCATGATGTTGACGTTAAACCTTGTGGATAGTCTCTACCACCTTCCATCTCTCGAAATATTATTTCACAAGTTTGTAGGTCAGCAGAGCATGTCAGATAAGGAATGTAGGGTGTAACTATAAGGAAAAGGAAACCTCAATCGGAAAATAGAAACAATGACACTTTTCATACAGCGTAGAATATGATGTTCCTGTTAGTCACGTCAATAGTAAAAATCGTTACCAGTATATTTCTTTTTATCAAAGGACTACACGTTATCTACATACGGTTATCTGAACAGCACTCTTATTACTAGCTCTGATAAAATAAGCTGCTTATTAATCCAGTTCATAAGAAAACAAATAGCCGGCAAGGAGAGGGGCAGTTTGTTTCCATGAGAATTATGCGAACAGCCTACAGGAAGATCATTATTTGATTTAATCTTGGCCTCGTGTTATTTTTCACAAAACATGCTCTAAAATAATCTAAAAATCATGTATTTGTATCGCCGTTTATCGTTCTTGGAAGAAACACTCTTTATAAGAGAAGTTCCGAGAGAAATACGGTGGTATTTATAACGGAAACATTGAACGTTCTGGTAAAAAAAAAAAAAAAAAAAAAAAAAAATCGCATCCCGATCACATTCCATCAATTCCACTGTTGAAGTATAGTGTCACTATACCTCTGTAACCCTAATTTAATAGTACTAAAATGGAAGCAAGACGACAAAAGAAATATTGTGTATTTTCATAATCCAATACGCACGAGGCAGATATATGCATTATTATCATTGACGGATGTTTGGAAGGATTGCTACTACTTACAATTTCATCTTTCAAAATAAATGAGAACGTGTAAGACTTTGCTTGGTTATCAAGCAAACCCAGTCCGTTTGCCGGCAGAAATGTAGTTGTGTTTGCACACATGGATCAACTTATAAAATGGGTTCTGCCGACACAACCACATACGTATGATGCAGAATGCTGAGTGTAGTTTGCACATCGATATCGAGAAATTCCGTCTTTTTTGGTTTTAATCTTCAATTCCAAGCTGCTAAATATAGTAACTATGCTAAGCATAAAAAGTGTACATTTTAAGTATCGCAAGTATTATTTCTGTTAATGACGTATGACCTTAAATGCAATTTCAAGCAATTTTAGTCAATGAAGAAGTATGAAATTAATCGGTCCAATTGAAATGAAATTATTTTGCAAAAAGATCAACTTTTTTTAAATTAAAAATACCTTTGAACTTGAGCAATCAGCTGAGGGATTGTTGGGGAGCCCGATTTCACATTAGATTTTAGTGCGAGTCGAGAGTTACTGTCGCTACTCTTCAAAACGCATTCACAATTCAATTGTTAAACATCTCCTCTTCAAGTTGAAACTATGCATAACAAAGGAGTATATTTTCAACATAAATCAAATTCGGATTAGTGAGACAAAACAATTTAAATAATGCTTTTACGGTTCAAAAAAATGTCGTACCTGACCAAATAATACTAATATGAAATCAGACGAATTATTGAAAAGAAAATGTTCGACAACAAATTAAATGTTCTTGCCGCTTCTCTTGGAGATTCTTTTCATGTTTTCGAGCCAAATATTGTTCTGTCTCCACTGAGTGTCGACAGATTCCTCCGTTCATCGTACACATCTTTACTGATATTGTCAGGACCATGCGAGAATCGCCCTATTGGTCAATTAACACCCATTTATATGATATAACATCTATCTTACTTTCCTGAAACGGTTATTTCTGTACACTTGTGTTTGATAGTCTGTTCTGTAGGCACACCTGATGAATCTTTCGAACTAGGAAGTTTCCCATCCATCTGACACATGTAAATAAACGCGTGTACACATGTACACTTTTCATGGAAAGCTTGATATTTATTCGTCCGCTTACTCATCCGAGCTTCATACTGCCCAAAATTGCATCTTGCTTTTTATTTTCGCGATGTAACTTTCCTCACCCTACATAACCAACCCGATATTTAGTTTTCTAGTTAGGTTTGTTAGGCATTTACATCTTTTACCTAAGAATAACAGTAGTTTGAGATCAATTCAGTTTAATGATACGAATTTAAGGTAGGATCGTTGTCCCCAATACATGTACTTTGTGATTGACAACAGGACAGCCCAATCATCTTCCATGTCAAAACACTTGTATGTCGCTAATATTTTCTAGGATATTCCTCCTTTCCTGCTGGCTTCCTTTACAAGTCTCCAGTCATTCACAAGTAGAACCAATCCCTACATAGTATTTAACGTCATGCTATAAGGTATACTAAAAGTTGTACACTTTTCTGGCTATTTTCACATGATAAGCCAGACTGTTTAGTTTAAACCTATTTTATTTGATATAATCAAAAATAATTGGACACAAGTTATTCAACTTAGAAAACTTCCTCTTCCCTATAAACAATATACAATTGTTTTTATAGAGACAGAAGATGCATAGTGGTAATATCATATTTACATATTTTTAAATAAAATCAAGACCATTTATTTGATAAATGATGCAAACCAAAAAGATATATATTCAGACTGTTCCAGAAGATGTTGTAAAAAGCTCTATTATCAAAATCGCCGAAGTTACTGAATGATAGTTAACTGTTCCTTTCCAAAAGTATGCAAACTTCCTTGTTGAATGGTTCCGTTTTGATTGGTCTAGGTCATGGTTATTGATTGTTGTAAGCGTCTATTCGCTTCTTGAGGTGCTTCTTAATACTGTCCACTTCACTTCCGGTTGCATTTGGAGGCATTTGAAGAGGACTTTATTTCTCAAAAACTAGTGAAAATTATGCACATGTGCAGTGGGTGGTAACAAAAGATTTATATAAAATAAGGCTATTCAGTTATAAAATAGAACTGACAGGCCTGTATATTATGGTTGTTTGCACGGAACGATGAAGAGAAGAAAATCTCGTGCAAAGTAAATTAACTTCCACCAGTTCAGTAAACTAAGCTCGAGCATCAGTTCCCCTTATCGGGTTCTTAAAGCAAGTGGCTCGTCGAGGATGATGAACCGGAAAAGTAAATATTTTATATTTGGCATTGTAAGATATATTGTGACGTCATTAACGTCGCTGCTGATTGACTGATAATATTAAAAGCATTGTAGTTTATCGATGTACGCGTCGAGTGTCCCAGCCTCCGAGGAAGTATAGCTGTTTCACTGGAGAAATTACTTACATTTATATATCTATGGACTTTCAGTTTCCCAATGCAATGCCAAGCTGCTAATAGGCACGTTTGAATACCTACAAATGGACCCAACAGACGGGTTGGGAATATAAGTAAGCACAACCAAACTGATTATGTTGGAAAACTGAAACTAAAATACCCGTACATATAGCCCCTTTCCTCTATATGGAATAAGTACAACTTCTTTCAAGTATGCGGATAAATTACCTATAACCGCCATATCTTGTAATATCACTGGGACAAACATTGAAAATAGCACAGGGACCTGGGAATTTGTTACAGCTATATTTGGACCTAAACTAAGGTGTTCAGAGTAATTTTACGTGTTTTAGGTGTTTAGATCGACTTTCGGTAAAAATGACACCCCAATGATCATATGAACTCGGTTACATATGATCATTAATTATGGGTGTCATTTTCAGGTCCCTGTGGAAAATAACACCAAAATTGAAATGCACAAAACATAGTGTCAAGCTGTACTATATTTTTACATCAAAAGAAGAATTCGCATTGAATTTTACAACGTTTGACATGACACATCTTCCTCATCCAAGTCATGGTAGTGCTTTAACAACTTAATACATTTGTTGTTTTTAACATACTCAATGGTTGAATAGACAGCTTTCTAACAAAGGTACCGAAACACGTTTGACACAGCTTTTCGTTATTTTATCTTAAGTAGACACGATTTGATACAAAGAGACTTCTAACATTCTCAGAAGAACACGTCCCAGCAGTAAACAGTCAGGTATGGGAACAACTCGTTCTCTTTTAGGGGCAGATCGGGTGTGGAACAGCCTACCAAATGAATAATGGCAATGAGAATACTTGCCAGAATTCCGGAGGCTGATCCACACTTGGGATGGCCCCATTTGCACGTGCTCCGTCTGTACTAAACTATCTACTCAATTATTCGTCCTGCCCACTGCTTTTAAATGTCTTTTAATTATCAGATTTGTGTTTGTATTTGTGCTCTTAACACTACTTACTATCAGATGACTTGGTAGGTAGGGGTTACCCAATCACCTGTCTCCGAGTAGATGTAGTTGGTGTGTAGGTATAAGGGTTACCCAATCACCTGTCTTCCGAGTAGATGTACTTGGTGTGTAGGTATGGGGGTTACCCAATTACCTGTCTTCCGAGTAGATGTACTTGGTGTGTAGGTATAGGGGTTACCCAATAACCTGTCTTCCGAGTAGATGTACTTGGTGTGTAGGTATAAGGGTTTCTAGCGATGAACCTGTCCTGTATATTTCTAGCTATGAACATGTGCTGTATGTTTCTAGCTATGAACATGTCCTGTATGTTTCTAGCCATGAACATGTCCTGTATGTTTCTAGCTATGAACATGTCCCGTATGTTTCTAGCTATGAACATGTCATGAATGTTTCTAGCTATGAACATGTCCCGTATGTTTCTAGCTATGAACATGTCCTGTATGTTTGAACATGTCCTGTATATTTCTAGCTATGAACCTGTCCTGTATATTTCTAGCAATGAACATGTCCTGTATGTTTCTTGCTATGAACCTGTCCCGTATGTTTCTAGCTATGAACATGTCTTGTGTGTTTCTAGCTATGAACATGTCCTGTATGTTTCTAGCTATGAACATGTCCTGTATGTTTCTAGCAATGAACATGTCCTGTATGTTTCTAGCTATGAACCAGTCCCGTATGTTTCTAGCTATGAACATGTCCCGTATGTTTCCAGCTATGAACATGTCCCGTATGTTTCTAGCTATGAACATGTCCTGTACGTTTCCAGCTATGAACATGTCCTGTATGTTTCTATCTATGAACATGTCCTGTATGTTTCTAGCTATGAGCATGTCCTGTATGTTTCTAGCAATGAACATGTCCTGTATTTTTCTAGCTATGAACCAGTCCCGTATGTTTCTAGCTATGAACATGTCCCGTATGATTCTAGCTATGAACATGTCCTGTATGTTTCCAGCTATGAACATGTCCCGTATGTTTCTAGCTATGAACATGTCCTGTATGTTTCCAGCTATGAACATGTCCTGTATGTTTCTAGCTATGAACATGTCCTGTATGTTTCTAGCTATGAACCTGTCCCGTATGTTTCTAGCTATGAACATGCCCCGTATGTTTCCAGCTATGAACATGTCCCGTATGTTTCTAGCTATGAACATGTCCCGTATGTTTCTAGCTATGAACATGTCCTGTATGTTTCTAGCTATGAACATGTCCCGTATGTTTCTAGCTATGAACATGTCCCGTCTGTTTCTAGCTATGAACATGTCCTGTGTGTTTCTAGCTATGAACATGTCCTGTATGTTTCTAGCTATGAACATGTCCCGTATGTTTCTAGCTATGAACATGTCCTGTATGTTTTTAGCTATGAACATGTCCTGTATGTTTTTAGCTATGAACATGTCCCGTATGTATTTCCAGCTATGAATATGTCCCGTATGTTTCTAGCTATGAACATGTCTTGTATGTTTCTAGCCATGAACATGTCCTGTATGTTTCCAGCTATGAACATGTCCCGTATGTTTCTAGCTATGAACATTTTATTTTCAGTATCAATTCTAATGTTTGTATTGTTTTTTATTGCAAGTATTGTTGCATCTTGCCCACTGTGATATTTTTCATATGCTCTGCCGTAAGAATAGCTCTTCAGAGCTAATGTTTTATGTTTTATATATATCCTGTGGAGCATACAGCCTGTGCTGCCATTTCGGCGCTCACAGCTTGCATTCTACAATTCTAGCACTGCTCAACCATGTACTCATTTACAGCTGAGTAGACTAAAACAAGTGGAGTAAAGTATCTTGCTCTGACAAAGAAACAACACAGTGCTGTGCCATGACTCAAACATGCAGCCTTTCAGTCACAAGCAACACGTCCTACCACTAGACTACCTTGCCTCCTAAATATATACATATACACAACAAAAAAATAAGATTTCTTGTATTTTTTATTTTAATACATTTACCGGGTATACGTCAATTAATTGAAATACACCTATTTTACATGACTTCATAATTGGCATACAATGTTCTGCTTTTTTTTGACAACATAACACATTCTGCTCTCATTTAGACAAGATATTGAAACATATACTAAAATAATGTCAGGTAATGAAAATATCAATGGAATAATGTTCAATTTGAATATTGATGTCCATTTTGATGAGTCTATTGAGAGATGTTCACTCGTTTCCGTAAATAAGGTCCACAAAGAACTGTCCACTGTGTTACTATGAGGATCCTGGTGGCATTGAAGGCGGGGGAGGAGGTGGAGGGGCAGGGGCAACAGGCATAATGGGTGGGGCAGAAGAAGGCATCATAGGGGGAGGGACAGGAGGAGGGGGTGGTGCTGGCATGCCTTGAGGAGGACCTGGGGGTGGAGCATGACCAGGTAGAGGGGCACTGCCTGGGGGCATAGGAGGAGGTGCCATAGGGGGTGGACCTGGGGGCATGGGTGGGAAANAGGGGGCATGCGAGGGGGTGGGGGCATCCTTGGTGGAGGCGGTAATTGTGTAACAGGGGTACTGGGGGGTTGTGACGGGGGCTGTGATGGGGGTTGTGAGGGAGGAGGGGGGCCACTGGGTGGTGGCTGTGGTGTAGATGACGCTGGCTTTGAGTCAAGCTTGAAGGCAAACTGAAGGAAAAACTGCAAAAAAGAAATTAACATTCCAATTCAATTATGTGAACAATTCAAATTGTGTGTTTGAAATGTGAAATGAAAATTTTCAACATGAAAGTTCAAGAACTACGAATATATTTTTATACTTATATTCTAAATGTTATTGAGGCTGTATGCATGGACAAATAATTGCAAATATTATTTCTAAATTTATTTTACAAAATCATTAAAACATGCTTGCTTGCATTGTAATATCATGTTTAAAGAAATCCAAAATGGAATAACGTTTTTCTCACTCCATGTAAAATATTTCTGCTTATCCTCCAGATTTGGTTAGAGATAAAGTCTACCTGTTTTGTCTCCCTATTCCAGTGAGACCAGATCTTCTTGGAATCCTTGTCCACTTCTCGACTAGGAACCTGCAATTCAAACATAACAAAGTAAACATTGGTCAAAATAAAACAAATTCTCTTTGGGTATTTTAAATGGCTGGTACATGCATGCAACCCAGATAGATATAAAACCTCACACACATTTGTTGGATAACATCAATGAGTACAAGTATGATATTTATATGTAATTCTCATCTTCAGGCGTACAAACCTTGAAAGCAATGGTCTCATAAGGTTCCGCAGCAAACAGAAGGTACTGCCACTTCCTGTCTGGAGGTTCCATCTTCTGCTCATACGCGGCCATAAATCTGTGGCGTGGCATTATTCCCTCCACAATCTCTGGGTAATCAATCTGCCGACAGAATTTTAATTGTAAAATAACACATACTATAACTAATGAGGTATATTCCAATGAAAGGATCTATGAAGTTTCAAGCAACACTGACCTTGGTCGTATTTCTATGCGAGGTACACAGCATACCTTGAATACATAAAAAGTTTCTGCACAAAACAGTGAAATATTTAAAAGTTACAAAGAAGCATCGGGGATCAGATGTGTGAGTGACTACACTACATAACCATCCGGTCATAATACTCCTGTTGAAGAAGTGTCAATCTGTTTTCAAGTAGAACTGAATGGTTCATTAGTTGTGCTAACATGCATTGCAGCAATTTGCAATTTGATCCCATGCAGCTACATTCAGCTGGGTGTGGTTAATTACATGACACATCGGCTTGTAAAACTACTCTTAAATGTGAATATTTAAATTTACCCGGAAAACATTCCGGACAAATATTGTATTATCGTGACAAAGCTTTAACTCCTAGCTGTAACCTTGAACTTGATGGTATGGACCTGTGTGTGCATGCCAAAATAATCTTGTCATGATATTCTAATTATTAAGCTCATTTAAATAATAGTCAGCAGTTAAGTAGTTACGGCCTAGACAAGCAAACCAGTGGTTAATTATTAGAGTTTCACCTCTGGCTGTGACCTTGACATGGAAGGTAAAAACTTAGTTGTGGTATACAACCCTACCTCGTCATAGTTTCATCAAATGATCTGCAGAAGTTCATAATCTACACAAGTCACTAATTACTTAAGTGAGGGATATATGCTGTCTATAGAAATGGATGAACTTTTTGCAGTTTCATTACACTCATAAGCCAAGGCGTTTACATGTATATTGAAGTCCTAGCCAATGTTTAGTTTCCGTATTATTTGAAAGCATTGGTGTATCTATCAAATTGTATGATGTTTCAACAACCACCGTCACACTTAACAGTTCAAGACTTCTGACGATTTTCTGTAGGTTAACTTTGTGGAAGATATAGGAGGGGAGATAATACAAGGTTTTCTACAGTAAAACGTTAAACTTACCTGAAACAACAGACTCTGCTGTCCATTGTCAGGATCCCTCTGCTTTGTCACTGTGAAGTACAAAATATTTCATGTAGACCTTATTGCATGCAAGATTATTTTTATGTAAGTAAAATGTTGATCAAAACATTATCTACTTTTTAAGAATTACATTTTTTTATTTTTTGGATAAACTGTATTAAAAAAAAAAAAAAAAAACTTTATATTTTTATTTATTCAGTGGTAAATGAAAAGATTGATGATACAAAAATGAAATACAGCTCACAGAAGGACTGGTCTGACAACCAGAGCTCCATACCCTTTAATAGTGTGTCAATGAGGAAATGGTTGAAATTATTAGCTGTTAAGCAAAAGAGGCAAAACTTTTGAGAAGGACTTTGCTTAAGAGTTGCTAGCCTGGATATTACTTTTACCAGTCTGCTTTATTCTCAAAGAAATTGTGTTCATTGGTTTAGGAAGTTGTGCTTAAAGACATATGAACATGTGTTTATAGGCATATGAACATGTGGTGTATAAATATTTGTTTATAGGCATAAGAAGCATTAACATCCTAGTACATTTTACTTCAACGGAGACAACATTTTGTGGTGTTTACCTGTACAAAGTTTTAGATGTGTTTTATTTATGCTACATTATTACCTTTCATTTGATGTTGGTTTTCCCCTTGGCTGATGGTGTTCTACGATTCACAAATTGTTTTAGATTATGAATGAGCAAAAATACCTCTTATATTTGTATACATAAGAAAGTGCCAAAGTAGCAGAAATGAAAAAGGTGAATTAAGGATTTTTCTATCTTCAATAGAATTCATCAGTTTGGAAATATGTGATATCAAAGTTTTACTTTTTACACAAACAATGTACATGTTAAATGTGTCACAACATGTTCTACACCCTACCTGTAACCTATCTGGTGCAGTGTGTATACGCTCCATTTCGATAGGCGAAACGTCTTGGGTCGAGTGACAAGAAAAATATACAATTTCGTCACATCGTTGTTACTTGTACAGGTAAATATTACAAATCGCTCACTCAGTCATAGCTTGATAAACAGACCAGTCGGTCTTGAAATGTTGCAACACGTTTAATACTTACATTGTTTGCGTAAAAAGTAAAACTTTGATGTTATAAGGATTTTGTTGTTATATGTTTACCTTTGTAACCAGGACGTCCTATCTTGACAAACTTTTTGATGTCAACGCGAGCTTTCTCTGGCGCAGGTTGTGCTGGGGCCTCTTTAGCTTCCTTGGCTGCACGACGAGCGCTGTCATAGTTAACAGGAATGTAAACATTTTACCATGGTAATGTAATCTCAAAGTTGTTACAATCATTTAGAATTATAAATCAGTGTTGTCAAATTTATTACTTAAGATTCATTCACGTTAAACAAACAATTCAGATTTGACAATTTCGTCAAAAAGAATAAGAATTGAAAGTCATGTGCAGCATTAATGTACAAGGTAAAGCCATTTTACCAGATCAATGTCATATCTCATCTTTTGAGAGATAGAAACAGTACTGTGAATTCTATACTTACAGATTAGCCTGATGTTTCTTGCCTTGTGTGTGAGCTAAATAACTTCCCTGTAAATGTGATATGACAACTTTGTAAGCTTCATGGTGACATGGTGCTTGTTTTCAAAAATATAAATACCCAGAAAATAATTATGTTCCCTTTTTACAAGGGTTATGATTTTGAATTGTGGAAAAATAGCTATAATGCTTCCACCCAAATCATATTTATTGTTTAATAGCAAATACCCAAAATCAACACCACAAAGCGGAGCTTTGCTTTCCAATATTGTCATTTTAGAAGTAAAATAGCATGAAATTCTTTGCTAGCTGCATATCAGATGATTCCAAATCTTCAAACAGAAGCAATATTTGTTTTAAATATGTTAATTGATTTTAGTTATATTTAACACCTGTCTGCCAATGGGTACACAATATCAGTTTCTACAAATATATTACTGTTATCCATTACCTCATTATTATGTAGTGTCAGACACAGCTTACACTCATAGGAGCCCAAGTGGTTCTTCATAAAGTAAGGGTCCTAAAAAGTAAAATATGCATATAAAAATTTGCAAAAACAAAATAAAATATCATAATGTTACAACAATACAGTAATTCCTGTTTCATCATAAATCCTTGTTATGTACATATATATGTATACATGTACACAAAACTAGAAAATTCCAACAAAACTTGTGTCACAGCTACAATTGTATGTATATTTTATACTTTGTATAAATCTATACATAAATTATTTAACTTACGATGATTATAACCAAGATCAGTTACTGCTGAAATACCAAATTATTTGAAAAGACTTTCTGACACTTGATTCTGAGAACAATATCAAAGGAATTGAAATGGTTCGCCTCATTTTTTGTTCACCGATGTCATCTTCTCTAAAAGATCAGGTCCTTAACAAAGGGCATTTAATGCCTCTGTACACTTTCAGATAAAAACAAATCAAACAAGTACATGAAGCTGTAAAATCTTTACGACAGTTCACGTTGGTGTTTTCTTGTAAATTTACAAAACGGTTTTACATCAAAACATTTATAGAGTGTGGACTCCACAATTATTTTTTCAATACTCAACATTTGGCTGATCATGAATTGCCTGGAAAACTATAGAACATGGACCAATCAGGAAGGTTTTCCCTGACCACAGGCTAGGTCAGATCATAAAACCAATAAAATGTGCATAATACTGTACATCCATCAAAAAAAAAATAGTGATAAAATACCTGTGAATTTTTTACAAAACATTCCAAAGAGGATAAACAAATAATCAGAAATTAATTGATTATTAATTTATTGGACACTTTTGGAATATATTTGACAATTATCAAAAGGTTGAATTATACAGAAATATCTTAGTATAGTGGACTCTTTGTTTGTTGTATAGCTCTGCAACACATATTTCAAAATACAGACTAGACACATAAAACATATATATATACCTTGAGAAGATCTATGGTTTCCAGTGCCAACTGACGTAGGCGTTCCCTCCGATCTCGGTTGGATTCTGAGGCAGAGGCCACGCCTCCTGTCCCCGTCTTCCCTCCAGCTCGATGCTGGAAATCCATAGTGTAGGTAAAACTCTAACCAGCTAAATATGCTGTTTATGGAAAAATCTGAAAGAAATCATATTCATGAGGTTTTTATCTAAATTTAATAAAATAATGTTAAATATTATATACCTGGGTAATATTTCAGTTGAATCGGTCACTTTTAATTCATGCTTATGTATAGGGAGCAATTTAAACAATGACAGTCAACATTCAAACAAACATGAAGAATTCTGCTGTTTTCTTCTCAAATTGATGTGGTTTAGAGCTTGAGTGATAAATTAAAGATTAACCCCTCTGAGAAGTTAAAAAATCCAAGTATTTAACTTTTTACTCTGTCTTCTTGGAAAAAGGAGTCAACATTATATGTCCATGTGATTGTTTTTATGCTATGACTGGTCAAAGCTCAATTTAATATAACGTGATTTTTAATGAATTTTATTTTTAGCATGCATGCAGAACAAATCCATAAACTGTTACAGGTGTATATACAATATCTTTCATGTGTCACTTTCATGATTAAGAAAGCATTATTTCTATTAAATGTGCATTTGAAGTGTAAAATCAAAAATTTATGAATGTTTGCACAACTAATAGATACAAGTGGCTATGGTGACTCATATCTTTTGAAACAGACTATCAGCTTTCAGATGGTTTAAAATTGTACAGACAGTTATTATTTTGAAAAGAGATTTAAGACATGCTGTAATGTTATTATAGAAATATTCTCAAGTTGGCTTAAGGTCAATGCTATCTAATAACAATTATTTTACTGTAAATGGTTTTTGACATGCTATGCATTGAGGCTTGTCTTCACATTTCAGTAAATAACAACGGGTAATGTTTGAAGGACCCATCTAGAGACGGGCAAGAAAAACCTTGTCTCAACGCCTTTCTCTGTAGTTAGTGTGCCATTCATTGATTTCAGGTTTAATATAGTGTATCTTGTTGTCAATGCATTGATTGAAATGATTTTGCCATTGTGATCTTATAAGATCTTATATCTTGTTTTATGATCAGTAAAATAAAGTTGAAAATCAACAGGTGGTAGCAATAGAGCTGCTTTTGCAGCGTGATCTATGGAAGTGAATTTTCTTCAACTAATACATGTAGTTTTATCTCAGAAATTCAATTAAGGTTACTCCTTTTCCTTACTTTTATATGAAAAAAATACACCTTCATACTTGTCAACACTCCCTATATTGGAGGGAGACTCCCTATTTTGGCCCTAAAATTGAGCAGTTTCAACAAGTGAATTTGCTTTATTATTCCTATTTTCTGAGATCTGATAATTTCATCTGATAGAACAGCTCAAAAGATGTCTTTTAAAAGTGTTATTTTCCCCTAGGATATGTACACACATTTTATTATTATTTCGACCGTGCATATTCTCCCTCATGGAAATTTCAAAAACTTGGCAAGTATGCACTTTTTTCATCTTTTTTGGGGGGATCTGCAATCAAATTTGTTTTAATATTCAACTGATCGGAGGAAAATGTCTTAATGTGTTTCTTTTCCTAAAACAACCAAAGAAATTGGGGGTCAGTGTGCTTCTTTCATTGTCATATTATTTCTTATGTTATTTTTTCACCTTTTGCAGAATCAAAATCAAAAGGGCTCCAATTAAACTAATTAAGTAATGAAAAGACAAAATCATATTATTTTCCAATTTGTATGTTATATTCATAATATGGAATATAAAATAATTCCATGTCAAACTTCAACTTGCTACAGTTAAAAATGGCAATATATGCGTAATGTCAACAAAGTGTGAAATTTTAGCATTGATTGCATGGAGTGCAAAAACCATACTTTTTCGGGACATTCAAATAGCTGCCCAATTGGTGATCTTTCCTCAGTTTTTTGAAAACTCAAAAAGATGTTCTGTAAACAAAAGGATCTAGGTGCTAGTTTTTTTCACATTTTTTTCAGATGCATGCATATTTGCTTCTGAATTTTATCAAAAAGTGTGTATGTTTAACTTTATAAAAAAAACTAACACTTGATCGAACAGAGATTCAGATATGACTTAAATCTGAGTACATCCTTAAAACAAAAATGACATCACAAGTAATGAAAACAAACATCTAAATGCATGCTTTTTGTAGTCAACATTACCATAAACATTAATATTGTTTTACGCGACTTTGCTTTAATTTAATGAAAATTTAAATCTGAGAAAATATAGCTCAATACAGCTATAATGTATAGCTATATATAGCTCAATCGGTAGAGTGCACTGGACCTGCTTATAGTTATTGTGTATAAAAGAGTAAAACGAATAACTTGTACACTTCCATTGATCATGTCAGTTTCAATTGAACTGTTTTACAGTGTATATATATATTTTGACGGTTGAAGTAAGATAAGTTTCAATCTGTTACCGGTGCCAACCTTTACTGTTAACAACATTATATCGTCACACATCATTATTAAAACGCTAGCTAATGATGCGTCAAAACAGGTGACACGAGGCAGCTACGTGTATTTTATGGAATTCGTCGTGATTCATACGAATGCAGCAACAGGGTTTGCATAAAAAGTCAATAACATAGGCATGCAGTAATGTTACAAATCAATCGGATGTGGAAAATACTGTGAAATGAATGGTTATTTATCAACCAAACCAACCGGTTAAGAAGTTCTGTTCATGCGTCCATCAACGTTTTCAGGATCAGAGACATGTTTGAAATAAAGCACTAGCGTGAACAATTTTTTAAGCTTACGTAAAACCTAGACGGCCAAGAAACCTTACTCTCTAACAAAACGAAATGTTCCAAGAACGGTTAATTTAGATAATAGAATACACCGAACTCAAAATGTGTTTATCATTTATTTCTTGACTTGCACAAATTTGAATTAGCCAGCCATCAGAATGGGAAAATGAGCATAAAAAATAAAATCACAATATTGTTTACTGGGAAACAAGATGGCGGTCACCGATACAAACAAGCACCTGCAACACTGAATAATTTCGATAGATATAACAAATGCAGCTTATTGTGAATATATCCATACAAGACACCTGCATAAACCGTAAGTGATGTGATGTCCCAGATGACATATATATACGGTGCCGTACTGTTTTATGCAATATATGCTCAGTGCCTCACATTCCAGACTGTTAATTGGATGACAACATTAATCTGTTAATATTGATGTCACTATGGTTGAAGTGCTTCAGCAACACTGCATGTTTTCAAAGCTAAAAATGATGCTACGTTTAACAGACTGTTGGATGTAAAACATGCCAAGTGCAAAATGAAAGTAAATTGAGTCTGATTTCTATATAATAACTGATAAATTACTGAACACTTCACTATAAATGAACAGATTACAAGACATTACGTCGCGACATCTTCAGAGAAATCATCCTACTAACCATTCTTGTTACTGTTAAATTTCCTTCTTCATATTCTGAAGTATACAGTTTTAATTATTGTAACAACAAAGTATTTTCTAGTTAATAAATATTTAGAACGACCCATCAGATTTCAATCACTCCCTAACTTCTCACTCTCTAGAGACAGTCAGGTGAGCCTCATTTGATTGGGTTGCCAAACCACATGCTTGCCTGGCAGGTGTTTTTCTGCCAGTAAATTACAAATTCCTCATTCTCTTTATCCCCAACTCCTAACCGCCTTTGAGAAATTGAGACATATATTAAACTGCTAACGCTGTGCATTCATTTGGATTACTTTACATGTATTGTTACCAGTATTCATCTATATTCTAAACCAATTAGTTATTTTGTCATGTTTATCACCAACAATATCATGCCAACTCTTAGGACATGTATGTTGTGATATTTGGACTGGTTCCTATGAGTTCTGACATTGCAAGATGCTGAATATTTACATGAACTTTATTTATTTTACAACAATTATGAAGTTTTTACAACATATACTACTGGGAAAAACCCGACATGGTGGCCCCATATACTAGGGAATACATTTGGAGAAATTTACTCGCAAATTGGGTATTAATAACCTTATTTCTGAGGGAAAGTCCCCATATATTTATGCTGCTTGTTGGGCTTGGGTGATCACCAGTCCCCCCCCCCCCCTTGATATATACCTTTTACCGCATTGTAATTGGTGAAAGGCAAGTGCACCACCCGACCACCCAAAGAAATTAAATAAAGGACATAAACTTGTCCGATACAAACATACAGGTATATTTCAAATTTAGCAAATGCCAGCCATTAGTGAAATAATGGTGTATTATTCTCAACATAGGTATAGAGATAATTTAATTATATTTTGTATTTTTTTTTTTATTAAATTAGAAAATTAGTGAAGTATTTAGATTTTTTAAGATAGAGTAATACAACACAGAGTCATAAACACTTATGTATTTAGAGTAATACAACACAGAGTAATAAACACTTATGATGTACATACTAAAACTGTCACACTAAATAAGGGTGGTCTCTAGTAACTGACACCAGTAATGAACAAACCTTCCCAGATTATGTGTGAATATTAAACTCCAAGAATTGTGTAACATGCTAGATGGCCTAGATATGTGACTATCATTCTCTCTCAAAATATCATGTATTTGTACCTGTTCATACTTGCCAACTCGACCCTATTTTGGAAGGAGACCCCTAATTTTTTACCCTATTACTGAGCAATTGCAACCAGTGAATTTGCTAAATTATTTTAACCTTCTCAGATCTCTTGATTTCATCTGAAAGAACAGCTCTAAAGATGCCATTTGAAAGTGTTATTTTTCCCTAGGGTGTAAATACACACGTTTTATTTATGCTTTTTATTCTGAGCTCATGTAATCTCACCCATGGAAATTGCAAAAATGTTGGCAAGTATGCCTGTTGTGCATGATTGAGTATTTTAGGAGTTTGTAGATTGTATATGAAGTTACATGGATCTCAAATCTTGAAATGTGTATATTCTCTTGATACTGCATTGTATCATTTGATATTTTGTTTACACAATAAAAATTGACACATATGAAAAAGCAATTATTTCGGCAAGTACTCTTAGACAAAAATATATATATAATACAAGTAACTGTTTTAAGGTAGATAGAAGTTGCCTGATCTTTGCCTACAAACACAAGACCTCAGGGTTCAAATATTGACAATTGTTAATTCTCTAGAAATCACAGCCAGCTGGAACTAATAATGATAACATTTATTGATAACAAGCAAATTGATAGTTCAATGTGCATTATATGTTCATTGTGGTTTTGAATGAAAAAAATCTGATGATACATATTGTATAATACATCTGTTATGTTCATTCTTATTCAAAAATAAATTGTAACTTTAATTGACCTTTCTGCAAAATGGTGATCAAAGTACATGTACGACACACATGCAATTTGAGAAAATGGTAGATTTATATAATATAAGTGAATTATCAGTAATTAAGTTGTCACTGTGGATATGAAGATTGTACTTACATTATCTCAGTACAAATATATGTTATCCATTATACTGCACAGACAAACTTTATGGTATAATGGATAAAAACATACTGTTATGTGTGTGTTTTCAGTACTGACTACAGGAATAGTAGATTATAACATATGTATAATTATGTAGAAAATATTTCCATCTCATATAGCCTAAGCCCTATTAACATAAATTATGAATTGGAAGAGATACATGTAAATTGTGATACATTGTAATTGTTTGAAAAATGGCATTTAAACTTTCGAGTTATGCATTGAAATCTAAGGTACATTATGTAGATTACCAGAATCACATACTTTTTAGGTGTTTAAGTATTTATTTCATAATAATTACATCAAAGAACTTTGATATTTTACAGATCCTTAAGAAGAACATGGATGGTGATGAAGATTCCAAAACTGATTCACCCACAAAGGAAGAACTCAGGCAACGCAGATTGGCCTACTTCAGAACGAAGTCTATCTCCAAAGAGGAATCATCAGTGAAAAGTACAGAACAGGGCATTCCACCTCCAACAGTCAACAAAACCAATGGGATTTCAAGCCTCTATGATAGAAATACAGAAACTAATGAGAAAAAAAAGGGCATCCCAGAAAAAAACAGATTACACGACATCGAAGTAAATGAAGGAACTAAGGAGAATCTGAGATCACATGACAGAAATACAACAAATTGGTCACATGATCAACTAGAAACTAGTGAAGGGTTTGTTACACCATCAGAGGATAAAGATTCAAAATCAACTGAACTGTCCTTATCATTGGGACTTGACAGAGACGCTGGAGGCTGGGACGTGAACAATTTTTCAGAAAGAGAGTTTCCTAATGATGATTTTGATGACCTAAAGGAACAACTGAAAAATCAGACAATAAATTCAGGTAATGATGGTTACAATGAGCTAGTTGAGCGTCTCATACAATGTGCCAAACGAGATATAATTAACCGTGAGGAGAGTCAAAGGAGTGATAGACCTGAGAGTTCTCTGGGTTCAGGACGAGTAAACAATGAGAGCAGACAGAGGGATTCAGGACTGCCTGTAGACACAGAAAATATCACCAGGAATGACGGGTATACACGTCTAAAGCAACGCAATGTGACGAGGAAGACTGATGATGATGTACATGGAGAGAGTCCTAATGAAGGTAGAGAAAGAGGTAGCTCCACCAATAATAGAAAGATACTTGCTGGTCATAATCCTCATTCCATGAGAAATTCACAAGATCTTGATGAGATTAACGTGTTCCAAAAATCACTAGACTTGGACCATTTAGAAAGTATAGGCCTTCATACTCATAGAGCAGACTCAGAACTCGATGGTAATACTGAAACACAGCATCAAGAAACCGACCCCCTAGAAGAAAAGATAAGAAAGAAATCTCCTAGAGTTTTAGATGAGATTGCCTCCAATGAGTTGAAAGGAGTGCTTGGCGAAATGAAATATAAGGCATTCCTTGAGAAGTCAATTAAAGAAATAGATGAACTTCACCAAGGACAAAACTCAGATCAATCTATAGACAAACAACAACGAAAAACAACACTAAAGAAACAAAACAACACAGCGAAACAAACTCAAAAGTATAGGAAACCATCATCTGGTGAAAACGTTCATGTTTCCCAAAAATCTGATCAGACTGCTGATTGGAGACAGCAAACGGTCACTGAAAAGGACACAACTGATCAAGACAGTTCAACACTAGTTAATGGTAGTTTAACAGAAATTACACAGACTGACCATGATGGTGGTCAGGAGTCAGCGCGCCCCTTGCTCAATCGACCTAAATATGATCCAATTAGAAATGTATTTCAACAAAACGAGGAAGAAAAAGACAACAATAGCACAACATCTGGACCAAGAAATTATGAACAAGTCAATGTACCACGCAATGTAGTGTTTTCTGCTTCTCAGATTTATCAGCAAGCCTACAAGGGCGGGCATATACCAGGGTATGAAGGAATGCCTCCCTCCATGTATCCATACCATCCTGAAATGGCAATGAACCCTGCAGTGATGCACATGACAGGACATCCATATGGAAATATGTATGATTCAATGCAACACAACCCGTATTACAACCATATGCCTTTCCAGGGTCCGCCAGCATCTCCTGTTCATGGGTCATTCATGTACCCATACTATCCTATGCAGGGTCCCATCCCAAGTTTACCTGGGGGACCACCAGGAATGCCCCATCCATCAGAACAGGGAGGACCAGCTGTTGATGCTTATCTGCAACAACTATCTGCTAGGAGTTACCAGTCATACAATGGATCAGATGCTCATATGTACAATCAGTATCCTACAAGTTATACCCCTTTGTCAAAGGTTCCTCACCCTCCTGATTCAAAAATGTCCTCCAGTAAGAAACCCCCTCTGCCTAACAGTACAGGTCTGAAATCTCCTTCAGTTCAGGGTATGAAAATGGGTCAGCTACCTACACAAATGTTTTATCCCCAAGAGCAGTATCCTCCTACTTCCCAAGCCCTTCATCCTCACCCCTTTTCCCAACCCCAACCAACCTCTGCTCCAGGATCTCAGTCGACGAATATACCAGAACTACATCCAAACTACATACAGCAGCCGCCCAAGGGAATACCGTACCCCCCGCCTCCAGAGAACGTGGATCTCCAGGCATACTTCCAGTTCCTTGAATCACAGGGATATCCTGTGCCCTACCAGGTGGTCACTGCCAGCCAGAAACATCCTGATGTGGAGCAAGTCAATGAAGGAGGTACTCCACAAGGTATTGGTATACAATGTGACACATTCTATCGTTAAAACAATTACCATCATATGTTTTTGGTAGAAATGGTTGTTATTTCTTTGGTAAGTTAATGACCAGATGATGCTATAGTTATGTATTAAGTACTTTGACACTTAGATCATAGGAGGTAAAGTGTAAGATTTCATAAACAAAAATAAAAATAAATACATAAAAACGATGTAAGTTTGATAGACTTACCATTTTATTCAATTACAGTCGCAAAGTTCGAGATTTCATCAAACTTGAAACTTAAACTAGTAACATGTAGGTAAATAAAATGATAAAATTAATCCAGGTTTCTATATGTATATACTGTACTGGTGCTGAAATATCAGCACCAATACAGTTATGGAAACTAGGATTTAGAAGTTGCTTCTCCTCTTTATTTCTTTGCCTTATATTAATAGGGATTCTGCATGTATACCACAAGGTGTACTCCTGAACCCTAGACAAATGTGAACAGACCTCGACACTCATTGGACACTGGTTCTTTAGTGACATATACATGTACATCTTAATTCTTGTTTCGGTCACCTTACAGTAACAAAATTAAGTACATGCTATTATTATAATGATAAACATGTGTAACAGATTTTTGTACTAATGTATTAATGTTCCTGATCTCCAGGTCCATATGAGATGATGGTTCCACGGCCTCCCTCCCAGAGTAAGAAATCCACTGCCTCACCCCGCCTCAGCAGTCGCCAGGAGAAATTACTTGATAGAAAAAAACCTGACAGTGGATGCCAGACACCACTTCGAGATAGCATGGATGACAGGGCCTCCCAGTCATCTCAGAGGCATGTGGACGGCATCAGACAGTACCATGAGCAAAAGTAAGCAGCTATTTGTTAGTGTGAGGCTTAGGTTATTTGTACATGCGTAGGTAAGCAGCTATTTGTTAGTGTGAGGCTTAGGTTATTTGTACATGTGTAGGTAAGCAGCTATTTGTTAGTGTGATGCTTAGGTTATTTGTACATGTGTAGGTAGGGTAGGTAGGGTAGGTAGGGTAGGTAGGGTAGGTTTACAGCTCAAGTTTCATTAAATGTACCTAGGTTTTTTGTGTTTTTTTCTAAATTAAAATAAAGGTTCAAAGGTAAGAATTCAATTTATCACACCGATAAGGAATGTGTGTTGGTTTTTTATTTTTGTGTTAATTCTCACTAATCTGTTTAATACTGAGTTAGACCCTAGATTACAGAGATCGGCATATCATATGTTGAAATGTTTTTTCATCGTTATATTTCTAAAGATTGTTAATCTGCAAAATCTTGCTATCCGATACATTTTTAGGAAACGTTAATGTAATCAAACTGCCATAATATTGTAGATATTTTCTGATGAACTGATGTGCCAACAAACCAAGAAACTTTTATTGTTGTAAAATCAAACATTATTCAGGTTTTTTACAGCAAACTATTTCTGATGGTAAAGTGATATCTAATTATGGATGTAGCTTTTACATCATGAAACTCTTAATTAATATTACATATCAACTGGTGGAAGTGTTTTTTAAAGGACAGTTGATTGTTGATGTGGTTCATCAGTGTGTTACTGCATGGTGCTCCAAATAAATTATTATCACAAATTATTATCCATGGTTATAGGGCCTTTGCAACCAGCCAATATCTTTCTCAACTCACTGGGGAGCATACAGCTGGTGCTGCCATTTCGGCACTCGCAGCTAGTATTCAACAATTTGAGCACTGCCCAACCAGGTACTCATTTACAGCAGAGTAGACTGGAACAAGTGGAGTAAAGAATCTTTTTCAAAGACGCAACACAGTGCCTTGACTCGAACCCACAACCCTTTGATCACGAGCCCGAAATCTTACCACTAGACTACCGCCTCCTCCATGTCATCACAGAGCATAGCTACATGACTATGTTGTTGACTGAGAAATTAATAAATAATAACTAATTAAACATTTGTGCCGTTCTAGTTCTGTCACTAGAACAAGGACTTACGATGAATTAATAAATTACAATGACAATAAACAAATGAAGCTTAATAATCAGAATTTATCTTATATTTTGTCTATTTACAGAAGACAACAAAACGAAGATGAAGAAGTGTTAGAACGACAGAGAACATTCGCAAAGGCATCTATTGATAGGTATTTCAACTCACTTGAGAGTCTGTACCGGCGAGAAAAGGCCAGCAATGAGGACAGAGAGGAAGAGACAGAGGAAGGGAATGATGAAAGGGAGGCAATCTATGATGACAGGGAAACTATGGTGAATACAGAGGTAACTGTGGCAACAGTGAAGGCAGGGGGTATCACTGACAGAATGGAACGGCTTGGGTTAGACCTCTCCTTCCTTAGGGATGGTAAAGAACATGACGGTCAGAGAGAGGCAACAGTTAATGAGGAAAACAAGGAAAACAAGGGAGACAACCCAAAGGACAAACGAGTGATTGTGTGTCCAGAGTGTGGTGAGATCAACAAACCTTACATGACCTGGTGTGGAGACTGTGGAGACATTCTGATTGGTGTAGAACCTTTACTTCCAATGAAGAAAAAGTTCTGTGAGAAAAATCAAGCGAACAAAATAGAAAAAATAGGGGAAACTAAAACAGACAAAAATGTTACATTTAACGAGACAACAGACTGTCACCATGGTGAAATTATAGATACTAATCATGAGTCACCTGTTTATGGAGGCTCCCCTAAGGGTAAGATTTCACCTAACAAATCGGAAAGTAGGGACAGTGGTCGGCCGTCCAGTGAAGACTTGGACTGTTGCCGGACCGAGAAAGAGGTTATTGATATCTGTGAGTCTATAGATGATCCAGTGGTTAAGGGTTTCATTAAGTCCTACTTTAACAGGAAGAGACAGGCACTTGAGGAAACAAGAAAAAGTCTCGAAGGAGAGTTCCAGGAAGTTTTGGAAACTCCAATGGTTGAAGAGGAATGGAAGAACAATCATTCTCCATCAGGAAACACTGAGAATCTCGACGATATCTTTGATGACCAGGATTTTTTGAGGAAGGAGGAGATTTGGCTCCATGAACAGGTATCAGTACAAGTGGAGGATAAACCATTGAGGGGCAAGAAGAGTGGACCACTAGATATTGAGGTGTTTAGTGTGACCGAATCAAAGGAAAGCAGGAACTCCAGCCGTGTAGAAAGTGTGGTCCCCATGCTGAACCTTGTCAACAGTAGTGATGAAGAGGATGAGGTAAGGGCAAATAACTCCAATCAAGAACCTATGCGACCATCAGTTGGCATGTCTACTGAGAGCGATGATTGGCACCAGATATTTGAACAGCAAGTTAGGCCCACACCCAGCTTACCCCTTGTTCCTCTGCTGTTAGATCTTTCTGAGACGGAGAACCATGAGAAAGGTTTATTGGAACAGATAGTTGAACTAGACATATCTAGGAAACCTCCAGTAAGTGGTGAACCAAGTACAAGAAAAGGCTCTAAAAATAGCAAAAAATCTAAAGTCAGGAGCTCCATTGAAGCACCTGGTTACCACAGACACTGGGAGAGGTCTAGCATAGCGTGGGGGTCATACAACCCTCGAGAACTGTCCACCAATTCCAGTGTGAAAGGCCCACAGAACATCAAGGCTCGGCCATCCAGTGCCAGCCGGCGACTAGTCAGTAAATCGGTCAGTGTTGACAGCATGTCTCAGCCATTTGATGAAACACCTACCAATAGTGAGGTGGCAAAACAGAGCAAGAAACCACGACCTTCAAGTGCTGATCTGTCAAAAAGGTAAATGTTGTATAGTATAACCATGTAAATTCTATAAATCCATAATTAGGACTTATTATAAGTGATAAATTTGTTGTCAGCAAGGTATATTTGATGTTTATGAGACAAGCTATTTGCAAGAGACACAAATGCCTTGTTATGTATCTGTATATGTGATAAGTATGTGTAGTAAATAAAGGATCCTTCATGGTTTCCTATTGCATTCTATACTATTACTCAAGTTTGGGAAGTTTGACAGAATACCAATATTTTTCATGAATGTGAAGTGTGAGTGGAAAATATCAGTATATACAGGCATATGAGTGAAATGTATATGGTATTTAACGATAAAACTACATGTATTCACTTTTCTATCCAGTTCATATTTAGCTCACCTTACCCGGCGTCCTTCAACTTTTTCCTTTAAAGCGCTACTAGTCCTGAACGGCTCAGAGTATTTTGACCAAATTTGGTCTGGAGCATCATTGGCCAAAGGGTTCTCAGTTTTGTATAAAGGAGGGTATGGTCCTCCTTGGGGCAGAGGGGTGGGGCCAAATAAGGGGAAAATAGGTAAATCTTTAAAAATCTTCTTCTTCTCAACCAATAGCAGGATTTTGACCAAATTTGTCCTAGAGCATCTTTGGACAAAGGTGTCTCACGTTTGTATAAATATAGGGTATGGCCCCTCTGGGGGCATAGGGGCAGGGCCCAATAGGGGAAATAGAGGATTTTTTCTCCTACTATACAAAGTGAAGGGATTTAAACCAAATGCAGTCTGAAGCATGCTTAGGGACAAAAGAATCAATTTTGTATAAACTGTGTGGACCCACTTCTATGGGGCAGATGAGTGGGGTCCATTAGGGGAAATAGAGGAAAACATTAAAGATCCTTCTCCTTCTGTACCGTTGAAGGGATTTTAACCAAACTTGTTCTAGAGAATCTTTGGGCAAAGGGAATTGAATATTTATAAATGGAAGATGTGCTGTTTACATGTCCATGTACATGTATGTAACAAAGGTATTAGTTGGCCCCTATCTTTGAAATATTTCTCTTTACCCACAAAATAAGAGATTTAATGATATAAAATATATTTATTCAGGAAACAGAGACCAAGTAGTGCTCAGAACCCAAACAGGAAGACAACTGATTTCAGCAGAAATTCTCACGATCGACCTAATTCCTCGGACAACCGACGTGGCCGTCTCCATCACCGAAGTACCTCAGAGAATTCCTTAACTCCAAATGAACAGGACCAGCCATTGTCTTCAGAGAGAAGAACCAGTCCTGCTCGAAGAATTCGTCCCAAATCAAAGGAGCGAAATCTTTCACACAGTCGATCTCCCGACATAGTAGAGAATAGTCTGTTTGTACCGAGGCCCCCTAGTGCCTCTGATACTGGTGGTAGGGCCGAGCAAACTCAGCAAGCCCAACTATCTCCACTCCAACATCCCTCAGCCCATTTTCCACCACCACAACCTCTGCGGCCTGAACTACCACCATCACAGATTCAGCCGTCTGGCAGCATGAACAGTGTACCGCCTACCCCTATCCCAGATAGTCCCTCCAGTCTTCCATACGTCGTAGATCACCGACTTCCGGCTGAGGTGGTGATGGACCCCCCACTGACCTCACATACAAGTATGTATTATATATATGTATATGTATTTAACTTAAAATACATTAAAATGTGTTAATGGTGAATCCCAACAGGTCCCAATAATGGTATATTATGCTCATTACTTCTATAATTATTGATATGGACTGTGTTGTCAGGAGGATGGGCAAGTTTGTAAAACAGAAAAATTAGTTCTGTGTTCAATGTCAATTACCATAGTAAAAATCACGCTTTGTTTTGTCATTTCCGAACCACAATAACATATTTTTCACGTTGAATAAAATATTCCTAGAAGTTTTATTATTCTACATCATTGCGACTGTACATCAGGAAACTTTCACCTGTCAAACATTTTCCCGGTGTTTATTTTGCCCTTCACATTTATTATGCTACTTATATCCATCATAACTGGGGGGGAAATTTCCAAGTTTACTATTAATATTACACCAGTAAGATGGAAAAAAAATTGCAAGATAATTATTCAAAGGTAATTTTAAAGTTGATAACGTTATATTTATAATATTATGCTGTATTTTATTGTTAATTTTGTCAAAAACCCTGCATTGTTAAATGACACTGTTTTCCTCTTCTTTGTTTACAGATGCAGAATCTGTTTTGAATGCTTATTCAAAATATCATGAAATGGTAAGATTGAGTGAAATCTGTGATAAATATGGGGAATAACACAGATGGCTTAATGATAAAAATATCGAGATCTCATGTCTGTGTTATTATTTTAACAGCAAGGTCATTGAATATCCACAAAATAAATATTGTCGTAAACTTTACACCTTTATGCAGAGATATTAGCTAAAATAGTGAAGCTACTAAACAACAGTGTAGTATTGTACAAGAGGGCTACAAATTAAAGATTATGGACATTTCGAAACGTGATCTGTTTAATTTGTCATGACAGACTCCTCGGATACAGAAGGGTAAATTCTCGGCGTGGTTGTGCCTGCCAGACGAGATCTTACTACACATCCTCTCCTACCTGACAATGGAAGACTTGGCGCGGTGTGCACGTACCTGTACGGACTATCACCGCGTAGCCATGGACGATTCGCTCTGTAAGTATGGCTTACTTATATGGAATGTAGTTATGAAGCTCCTCAACAGATAACATGAGCATCCTTAAAGTGTTCTAGAGTTATGTACTTTATCCCATGTACAGATTTTAAATTGTTAAGCTGGCTTTGAGAAATTCATCAATACACTTATATTTATACAGTTGATATTTACATGTCCTGTTACTATATATATGGAGGCTTTGTGAAAGGTTATCAACACTGTGAATATTTACTTGTCCTGTTACTATATGTATGGAGGCTTTGTGAAAGGTTATCAACACTGTGAATGTTTACATGTCCTGTTACTATATGTATGGAGGCTTTGTGAAAGGTTATCAACACTGTGAATGTTTACATGTCCTGTTACTATATGTATGGAGGCTTTGTGAAAGGTTATCAACACTGTGAATGTTTACATGTCCTGTTACTATATGTATGGAGGCTTTGTGAAAGGTTATCAACACTGTGAATGTTTACATGTCCTGTTACTATATGTATGGAGGCTTTGTGAAAGGTTATCAACACTGTGAATGTTTACATGTCCTGTTACTATATGTATGGAGGCTTTGTGAAAGGTTATCAACACTGTGAATGTTTACATGTCCTGTTACTATATGTATGGAGGCTTTGTGAAAGGTTATCAACACTGTGAATGTTTACATGTCCTGTTACTATATGTATGGAGGCTTTGTGAAAGGTTATCAACACTGTGAATGTTTACATGTCCTGTTACTATATGTATGGAGGCTTTGTGAAAGGTTATCAACACTGTGAATGTTTACATGTCCTGTTACTATATGTATGGAGGCTTTGTGAAAGGTTATCAACACTGTGAATGTTTACATGTCCTGTTACTATATGTATGGAGGCTTTGTGAAAGGTTATCAACACTGTGAATGTTTACATGTCCTGTTACTATATGTATGGAGGCTTTGTGAAAGGTTATCAACACTGTGAATGTTTACATGTCCTGTTACTATATGTATGGAGGCTTTGTGAAAGGTTATCAACACTGTGAATGTTTACATGTCCTGTTACTATATGTATGGAGGCTTTGTGAAAGGTTATCAACACTGTGAATGTTTACATGTCCTGTTACTATATGTATGGAGGCTTTGTGAAAGGTTATCAACACTGTGAATGTTTACATGTCCTGTTACTATATGTATGGAGGCTTTGTGAAAGGTTATCAACACTGTGAATGTTTACATGTCCTGTTACTATATATATGGAGGCTTTGTGAAAGGTTATCAACACTGTTGATATTAACATGTCAGGGAAATACATCACGGTAAAGAAGAAGCACCACCTCACGGACGATTCTCTGGGCCAGATTGGTAAGAGACATCCTGTTAGTCTGGCCTTCATCCAGTGCCATGGTGACAGCATCACTACCCGAGGCCTCAGGGACCTGTTCAGGGAATGTGGGGATAGTCTCAAGGTGGGTATTTAATTATGCTTTTGCTTGTTCACATATTCCTGACAGAATTAGTTTTCAACCAAATTTCATACTCAATTATTCCTGACATTAATCATGCTTTCAATACAAGTTAAAGGTCCAAGTAATACACTTTTTCAATCATCCATTTCCCAACATTTGATTTATAACCAAAATTCTAACAAAATGTTTCCGCCAAACATAAATACACTAAAGCTAATTGGTCGTACATTTAAGGTCAAGGTCACAGAAATGGAAGCTTTGACTGATGACTGGAAAAAATTGCATAAACATCAATACATACTTCTAAACAGCATACTAGCCTGCACTGCTTGTTTGCACATACACAAGCATGTACATATCTATAATACCAAATGCTATGGTATAAGATACATTATACATCATACTATCAATCTGACTACCTCAATGATGTCATTGGACATATTATGTGCTGTTTACAGTTTCTTTTATTACCTTTACAAACAATAAAAAAAGCCCACAACCAAGTGATCAAATATATAAATGCATCTTAGACATGATGTTTATAGCTGTGTATTTCTGTTCCACAGGAGCTAAACCTATGTGGGTGTAGTCGGGGAGCTCTGACAGGAGACTGTATCCTCCTCCATGCTTCGGCACGCTGTCGTGGTCTCACACATATAGATGCCAGCTGGTGCAATGTAACAGACAGTGGAATTGGTGCTATATCCGGGACATGTGACAGGTAGGGTTGTTTCTTTTTTTGAGAAATATGTTACATTTATTAGCGTTTCAGGATAATTTCAGATCCTCTGCACTGGCCACAAGTATACAATAGCTTCACATGTGTATATATATTTCAAAAGTGACAGCACTTCCAATTTTCAGATAATGTCTGAATCATAGTTGTGTGAAAGTTCAATATAAGTCATTGTGCATCTCTGCATTTAGTCACATGGAGTAATGATGCTTAAAGCTTCACTTCTATAATTATCTTCAAATTTCATGGAGATTTTAATATGTTCCTTATGTATTGAGAATAAATACAATGTAGATGAATATCTGTAAATTCCAAATGCCATGGATAGTTAGGATTATTGAAGAAAGTCTGTCACTGAAATGTATAGACTCTTAAAATAGAAATGTACTCAGTAAGACCATTTGTGTTTTTGTTTGCATTTTACTGGATTAGAATTGTTAGTACACAAAACACTAATTTTTTTTAAACAATTTTACAAATTTTATCAGCTTGAAGTGGAAACCTTTGTTGATTAATTCAATTCAGTGAATTTTCATAAATGAAATCAAATCTAAATGATAATTCAGAAAATTGATTGTGTGTTTTTAATATTTGAGGTTGTTTGATTTCAGACTTGAAAGTTTGTGTATAAATGGGTGCCAAAATGTCAAAGACGAGGGATTGGAAACAGTCTTAAAAAAACATGGAAAGAGGTGAGACAATTTCATAGACAAAGCAATTCCTGCTCTAAAATGTTTGGTTTTATAGAGCTAAAACTTAAAGTAAAGCTAATTCTGCAGCTGGAAAATTGCTTAATATTAAATATATTATTACAGAGAAATCTATTGGGTGGTTGACGAACTGTCTCTTTATTTGAGTTTTAGATTAATTTGAGAATTTGAGAATTTCTTGCCTTCATTTGTGTATATCTGACAAAGTAATTTGTGTATATCTGACAAATTAAAGTAATTTGTGTATACATATCTGACAAATTAAAGTAATTTGTGTATATCTGACAAATTAGTAATTTGTGTATCTGACAAAGTAATTTGTGTATATCTGACAAATTAAAGTAATTTGTGTATACATATCTGACAAATTAAAGTAATTTGTGTATATCTGACAAAGTAATTTGTGTATATCTGACAAAACAATTTGTGTATATCTGACAAAGGACAAAGTAATTTGTGTATATCTGACAAAGTAATTTGTGTATATCTGACAAAGTAATTTGTGTATCTGACAAAGTAAACAGTAACAACATGTCATAGCAATTTGACATACTGTAACATGTACATTTGTTTTTACATCTTCAAGGAGTCTGTCTACTTGCGCTTGGTAGTGAAAAGACGATTTCTATGATACTGCTTAATCAAGGTTAATTTGTAAATTTCTTTCTTGTGGAACAGAATTAGAAGTTCTTATCTGCTTTGAAAGGTTGAAAAACGATTTAACTATCACACTCGAAGCTCCTTTCTGGATTGTTTCAGTGAATTAAAGCATAGTTTCTTACTTTGCAGTTTACGACATTTGGAGATGTTCGGATGTTTTAACGTCACACCGAAGAGTATTCGATATATGGCAAACCACTGTCTGAACTTGATGACCTTAAACTTAGGACAATGTTATAAGGTGAGATGGAGTTAACCTGGTGGACCTAAACATCTACAGACTGGTAGTACTAACCTGGTGGACCTAAACATCTACAGACTGGTAGTACTGGTATCAGTCTGGACGTTAGGCTGATACCAGTACTACCACCTAAACCTGGGGGACCTAAACATCAACAGACTGGTAGTACTAACCTGGTGGACCTAAACATATACATACTGGTAGTACTGGTGTCAGTCTGGACGTTAGGCTGATACCAGTACTACCACCTAAACCTGGTGGACCTAAACATCTACAGACTGTGGTAGTACTGGTATCAGTCTGGACGTTAGGCAATGATTTGACTACTGGCTTTAGAGGCGATTTTGAGTTTATGTGAGGTCAATCACTACTGTTCTTTGAAAATGTTTAGGACAAGTGATTGCTATTTTAATATTTATAAATAAGTCTGAATTCAAATGGTTCCGTAATATTTATAATTGATAATTACATGTACTTAAGTAGAATCCCCATGACCTTGTCTGTGTGTTTCAGTTAACCGACTCCTGTATTTCCCAGCTGTCTTCTAGTCTAAGTAGAGTGGAAAACCTTGACCTACGTGGATGCAAACAGGTACAGTTATAGCAAGTTTGACCTGTTTTGTTATAAAGTTGGTTTTGAAGCTCTGACTAGTGCATCATTGATTTTGGTACCGTGCAGTGATTTGGGTTTAGTGTTTCTCCTACCCTGGACAGGTGTATCCACACTTTTACCGGTGTGAAGTATTCTTGTCTTACTCTAGGGTTGTGACAGGGCGGATGCCCCTATTCATAACAATGGTATGACGTCACGTCAACAATTCTATCAACGTCACGTCACGTCAACAATCCATCAACGTCCCGTCACGTCAACAATCCATCAACGTCACGTCACGTCAATCCTGAATTTATCCTGTATTTAACATTACATTTATATTATATTATAGACAATGGGAGACAAGGGTAAGAGAAAAAGTATCATGCACTCCCTTGAGGGTGAGATAGGGGCAAAGCCTCGTGTTTGGCAACTTAAGAATCTCCCCTCGGGTTGAGATTCCCCCTATCTCACCCCCAAGGGGGTGAGAGATTCTATTAATTCTATTAATTTTTACCTGAACTGATATTTGCTTTGAAAACATGTACAGAATGTGTATATTTTGATTGACTTAAATATTCTTTTGCCTATTTTGCAAATATTTTTACATCGGAAGAGGATATAGGACTCTTTTTCTATACAATATAGAAAGCCCTATAGATGAGTTTACTATAAAAAAAACATATCTTACTTTAAAAATAGGAAAGAATAGAAACAAATTTTTTGGCCTGAAGTATGTTGTGTTTTTGTTTAGATCAAAGACAACTGCATAAGGTATGTGGTGAAGAACTGTCCCCGATTACAGACCATCTCCCTCGCCAACTGTCCCAATATCACAGACGTCTCCATGTTGGAAGTGTCCACTTACCTCACAGATATCAGGTATGATGCGGCTGAAAGATTATCTCCCCTTGTCAAAATTATGCAATTTTGATTTTATTTTAAGTTTACAACTTGTTGCACTAATTCTGACAGTTCTCAGTGGGTGTGTTGTGAACCAGTTTCAGTTCCATATACTTAAGTTCTGTTGAAATTTTCCTGTGTAATGTAAGCATTCAGACACAAGTGGATCATGATAGACTGCACCCCACTAAAACAGGAAATAAGTATCCAGTTAACTTGTGTTTATTATTTGGGTGCTATAAAGTTATTTCATAGCTCATTTAAAAAGAACAGCCATTAATATTGTCACTCTGTGCTGTTGAAAATAAACATGAACTGTTTCTCAAAACTATATGGTCTTCCACAGCACTACAAAAGTTTCGCTACAGTTTAAAAACAGCCATGCAATAAACTATCAGTTTGTTCTAGACACTCTGGACAACGGATTTTGACAGACAATTCTGATATACAAAATATAGGCGTAAAACCTCTTTTTTCAGCACCAATATAATATTATGCAGTGTCTTGTAGTTTAACCTTATTTAACTTATACTTTATGGTAAAATGTAGTGTATTATTATTCCACCTACATACCGCATTGCTGCATACCAGTTACTTGACATATGTACTTTGGTGTATGTTGCAGAAATATAGATGTGTGTGGGTGTAGAAATATCACCGACAACAGTATCCGAGCTCTGGCCAACAACTGTCAAAATCTCCGCAATATAGACATCAGTTCCACAGGCTGTTCACAGCGCAGGTAAAACATGGAGAAACTGTGATATACACAACCTAGAAAACGTTATACCTGTCTTCATACAAATTTCAAGGACAGTGGGGCTGCTGAAATTCCAAATTTCATTGTTTTTTGCTCTGACTCTTTAGTAGATGAATTTATTACTGTATGGTTCTGCACAGTTTTTTGTGCTAAATTTTGCGTTTATGTACCATGAATACATTTACATTGTATAAGATTTGGGTAGTTCAGATTATTAACAGTAAATTACTTCTTACTTAAAAAACTAAGTAAATCAGTGTATCATTATCCCTTGCAACAAAAGTTGGAGGAGATATAGGATTCCGCCCGTATGTACGTATGTTACACTCTTTGTCATCGCTTTAGCGACTTCATTCCTCAATGGAATTTCATCAAACTTCATACAAGAGTTAATTATGACAATACCTTGAACAAGTCTGCGTTTTGTGTTTCTACGTTGAAGGTCAAGGTCACTGTTACTATTTTTAGAAAAAACTTTGTCATCGCTCTACCAACTTCATTCCTCAGCAGAATTTCATGAAACTTGAAACAAGTGTTTGGTATGATGATATCATGAACAAGTTTGCATTTCGGATTACTGCGTTCAAGGTCACTTTAGAAAAACTTTGTCATTGCTCTACCGACTTCATTCCTCAGCAGAATTTCATGAAACTTCATACCAGGGTTGAGTATGACAATACTTTGAACAAGTTCGCATTTAAGGGTACTGCGTCAAAGGTCAAGGTCACTTCAACTATTTTTAGAAAAAAAATGTCATCGCTCTATCGACTTCATTCCTCAATGGAATTTCATGGAACTTCATACAAGTGTTTGGCATGGCAATGCCTTCAACAAGTTCTCGTTTCGGGTTTCTACGTTTAAGGTGAAGGTCACTTACTATTTTCAGGAAATATTATGTCATCGCTCAAACCACTTCATTTCCTCTTCCATGTGTCTGTCACAATGTGTGAATGCGAGGGGATTTGTATTACTTGTGATGCCTTGTTTGTTTTAAATTAAAAAGATTTTTTTTTAATTATGTACTGTCTGGTAGAATATGACAATCTTCACAACAAAATTAATGTGCATATGACTAAACCTTTGATACACTATGTATGTTTTAAATATGTTATAAATATCCATTGCTCTTTAACAGTGTATCCATGTTGGCTAACTTCTGTAACCAACGCCTCGAAACTGTCAAGTTAAACTTCCTGTCTGATATAACGGACTCTGTGATCATCAAACTGGCCAAACACTGTCGCAGGTAAGTCATAATGGCAAATTATAATAATTATTATCAGAGTGAATACTACTGAAAACTATTCATATGATGTTTTCACCTAAAGTTACAAGCTTATTTTCACAAGTGATGCTCAGCTTCAAGTAGTTTAACTGTCTGAAGAAGTTGATTGTCTTCCAAGAACTAGACCTGAATTATCAGTGGCAGATTTCAATGAGTTTGTGATGGTATTCATTGAATAACTATTTCTGAAACAAGTTCTGAAGGCATTGATGTAGTAAAATTGATTTGTGACAAATAGTGTTTTATTGAAATAATAGCAAAAGATATTTCTTGGTCACTGATGTTGAAGAGAATATTCCATTATTGAATGGATGTGTCGAGATTTGTTTTTGTAATGTAAGAAAACTTTCTATTTTTCAGAAAGATTTAAAAAATGAATGAGTAATGATCTATGAAGTTGCCTTCTTCTACCAACTCAATATTTTTCATTTCTTTTCTTTTCATTAATTTCAGATTGAAGTTGTTACATTTATATGGCTGCACCAGTGTCAGGAACAGTGACAAAATCAGGGAAGTCAACCACGGTGTCAAGGTGGAAATGTGATATGTCTGTAATATCAGTACCTGTTCTTACTACCTTAAGTTTAGTATCAGGTGGAAATAAAGGTGTTTTTAACATTTATAGGCCTAGATATCAGAAAATCAAGGTGTATATGATTGGAAGGTGTAATGCAAACTAGCCCTTTCACCACTGTAGACCCTAATTGACTCATCAATATCAATGCTGGGTAGAGTCTACTAAAGTTACGTAGGGGTGAAAAGGCTAAACAATATACACCTGTAAATATTATACCTGGTACGTGTTTATGTACCTGAAAACAAAACCTTGGTAAACTCCAGATGTATAGATGTTCTTGAAATAGGTAATACACCCCAAATACACATAGAAGTATGTAGCTGGTAACTCTATAATATAAAATCATGTATAATATTTAATGGATAGAAAGATTTGTGATATGTCCTTGATCTCAATCTGAAGTTGTGTCATATGATTACTGAGTGGAGGTCGTGTGTGAAGGTTGTGTGTGAAGGTCGTGTGTGAAGGTCATGTGTGATAGATGTGTGTAAATGTTGTGTGTAAAGGTTGTGTGTGATAGTTGTGTATGAAGGTTATGTGTGATCAGAGTCGTGTGAGAGGTTGTGTGCAGAGGTCATGTAATATGTATCTGGAAAACAGGGTCAATAGCTGATATAGGTTTTTATAGATATCAGGATGTTTTTAAAGGAAGCTGTTATTGTATACAGAATATTTAGTGATGTTATCTAAGTTTAATGGAAGTGTAGTAATCTTTGGTATAGGAAGCAGCTTGATATTGCTTCATGGTATTATGTATTAATTCTGCTGAGACAAGGCTTGGTAGAAATATTTGTGATAAAGCTTCCTCCAATTCTCAGTAATATTGTTGATGTAAGTGCTGTTTTCTGTATATCTATGTGTTATACAGGTCGTTTCAACATGTTTTTGCAAGGATTTTCCCTTGGGGCTAATCCAAAGTTAATAAAGAAGGAACGAGAGACAAACTTATAAGAAATTCCTAGGTGGTAGGGTGACTCATATCCTACCAACTGTTGTGTATATACATTTTTGTATCTCTCAGTTTTGTTTATTTAGTCAGTGATTGAATCTATAAAACATTACCTCCGACTCGACCCATTATAGGATTAATTTTGGAATAGCCCTTAGAATTTTCTGTGGAGAATTTAGATTTGAAGCAATTGTTTATCATGAATAGTTCAATATGTGATATATATATAAGAAGGACTTTTTCTGTATTTTGACTTGAATTTAAACATGCTTATTTCATATACAGCTGGAGGTGCGATAATTACACACGTTTTGACAATATGGGAATGTTGTGTTGATTCAATTTGTCATTGTCGGGCCAAGTAGGAAATATATCTCTAGTTCTGTTACTATGAATATTGAACAGTTTCCTGTAAACATTAAATAAATAAGAGGTTTTTGGCTGTGAATTTATACATATTGTGTCAAAATTGTATTGATAGTATTCAACACACCATAGAAGGGTAAGAAAAATGCATCATATGTTTCAAAAACATATTTCAATACCTTTGATTAGGAACAGATTTGGAACAAGTTTTACACCTTATAATACCTTTTTGTACCTTTATTTATTTATCAATTTGCAAAACAATCGTGTTATTAAGCTGTAACCTCTTAGCTAGCAATCATGCTCAAGTTCTAGTCATTAGCTATTAGTTATGATTCCCAAGTCTCATCACTTTATAACATTTGATAGCGGAAAGAGATTTTGTATTTTTATGCAATAGACCTATCTTATTTCATAGTTAACATAGCATATGTTAAACCTATCCTGTTAGGCTTATGTTATGATGTAAGTCTCTCTTTTTTTAAGACTAAATGAGATATGATAATATCTAATGCTTATGACATTGAGAAATATTGGTTTGTTATCAAAGTTTAGGATTTATCAATAGTTTGTAAGATGTATGTTATACAATTTATATACAACTTATGTATTTTTAATTTATCTCAATAATTTCCCTTTGAAATTGTTTTGAAATTGTGTCCTTCCTTTGAGATACCTTGTACTAGACTTTTCTATTCATTTTAACTATCCCGAACATTAGCACCATATTTGATTTACATATAATACAGGAAACATCTACAAAACCAAGTTTGTCTTAAATATGAATTCCATATATAACATGAAAATACGAATAAAATAAGTTTGTGGACTGCCGTCATGTCACGGAAGCACTGCATACAAGTTAATTAGGACTATGTTCTGTGAGCTCAGCACTTTTTCTGACATCAAATCACACCTCTATCGTAACATTTTTTTTAAATATTGTCACATCACAAAAGGATGACACTGATTATCGAAAATAAGCCTGAGAAAAATAGATTGTTTTAATCTAAAGAAATGTTTGATCTTTAGGCAAGAACGTCTCTACTGTTGTGAAAGGTTTGGAATGGTTATTTTCGGTGATGGTGTTGTTCAAATACCACTGCAGTGAATATGCTGGATCAAACTCATTCATGTCCTCCTCATTTGATATACCTTTGTATATCACAAAGTTTATACATTTTTGTTAATCCTGAATGAAAAGTTTATTTTGCAAATTCAAACTATTGCATATTTTTTAAGATTTATGGATCTTTATAACGGCAAAATTATGTCATCAAGAATCTGAAATTATTTATTTTAAGTGTAATTATTTGTATTGACAAGATGCATATAGAATATGATGATACAGTTTATAAGTTTTATTCTCTGATACAATATGTAAATTAACATGTCCTTTCCTTGAAATAATACTGTTCAAAAAGTTCATAATAAAAACAAATAAAGATAACTGATGAAGGTTTTGCTCAATTTGTATAAATAGGTGTTCAATGGCCATTTGTAGTGTTCTAGATGTTTTGTATAATCAGAATTTCCTTTTGTTTACATTTTTTTCTTTTGTACGAGTGCTTAGAGTAGAAAATTTATAATACAGAAACATTGTGTTACTAGCTAGGTGTTTTATTAAATCACTTTTGATCTTTTATAAACAGAGAGATTATTGCTGAATATCTTTGTACCTATTCATTTTCAGCCTGAATTAAGCTTCCCTTGTTGATGGCATTTATAGTTTATGGAACTTGTTTATTGTTTGTTACCCCAAACATTTAAATTTTTATTGGTGGGTAACTACATAACACATTTCATACTTAGTTCTGTCAGTACTGCTGCCACATTGTATCTAGTGTTGATGGATCTGAAAGTTAACACTGTTAAATAACCCTTCTGTGATGGTCCGTGCTCAAAGCTATAATCCTTTGTAAAATTGTGTATGTGATAGAATTGCAAGTCATCGAATGCAAAGTTGGTCTATCAGTATTATTGTGAATTGTTATGTTTTGATAACTATAGAGTTTATTTATGATGAGTGTTATGTGATATAAATAGAAATATTAGACTAGATCCAAATTTCATTTGTAATTTAGTAATTTATATTCATGTTTGTCTCTGTCTACTGTGGTACACCTTATCTGTTTAAGTGTACATTTATACACCTAATTAAGATGGGAGTATTCTGATTTACCTCCCCTTATTAAAATACTGCCCACAGGGGTAAACTTAAGTACAATTTTAAAATTGGAGTAAAAGTATCACAATGTGCTATATATAATTATCTCACTATTTTGATTTTAATTCAATTACCTTATCTTACATTATTTTCAGAGTTATATTAAGAAAATCACTGATAAAGGCATATTCAGAATGTTTGGCAAGGCAGAAAATCAAAAAAAAAACAATATCATTACAGGTACTTTCAGAATGTTTGGCAAGGCAGAAAATTAAAAAAAAACATTATCATTACTGGTACTTTCAGAATGTTTGGCAAGGCAGAAAATTAAAAAAAAAACCAATAGCATTACTGGTACTTTTGGAATGTTTGGAGCGGTGTACAATTCAAAATCATAAAAATGCCTATATTTTGTAAGTAGTCTGAAATAATGGACTATCTCAAAAAATTATAAAAGGATATAGTCAGTTATTTTGGTCTACCAGTATATGTTGCTAGATAGATAAAGCCGCTTTTTAATCGAGTGGTGCTCCATCCAAACCTAGGATAGCAGGAGGTGACGGAGTTATGCAAAAAAACATACATTGATGTATGTGTCATCAATACATAAAATGTTTTGTAGACAAGATAAGTAAAACTAGGTTTATGTTATAGATCTTATATTATTCCTAGAACTTGTTGTCAAGATTCAAATTTTAAACACTAGATGAGAAACAGTCTGTATGTATGCATGAGTGTTAAATGTAAGTTGATTATTTTAGAAAGGTTATACTGTACCATAAGTTGTATTTATCACTTCAAAACGTTCACATATATGGAAAATATGAATCCTGGAATTTGAGTCAGAAATTGTAAATCCTGCTTCTCATATATTAAAATATAAATCTTAGAACAGGTGTCAGAAAATATCAATCCTGGTGTACATGTTGGAAATTTTAAATCCTGTTATCTGGATCAAAATTACAAATATGAAATAACAGTATCAGGTTTTTTAAATCCATGTTTGTGCCTCACAAAGTATAAATCCTGGTATAGGGGTCAGAAATTTTAAATACGAAATTATAAATCATATCTGTCAAAATTTACAAACCTGGCATACATGTCAGAAATTTGTCCCCGGACAGAATTTTCAAAGAGGGATTCAATAATTAAATAAATTTAAAATTAAAAAAATATATATACAAATGTTATTATATAAAAATAACCTGCACATGCATGTTTAGGGAATGTGTAAGATGAAATTATGTGGTTTTTGTCTGTGATTTTTAGGGTGATGAATTATGTGATATTTTTCTGCGACTTTCAGTAAGATAAGACTACCGTAAAAACCTGTTTAATTTCTGCACCTATGTAATTTGCGTAGGGCTGAAAATACTGAAAAAAGCTTCTACTCATATATTTTGCGCATCAATTTTTTCCCTCAAATACGATGTCCTACTTGATTAGTATTAAAAAGGTGTTTTTTAAGAAATCAGTTCAGTTTTGATATGAGCCGTATTAAAGATTTAAAATATTTCAAATAAAAAAGTATCCAGTTGTCCTTTTTTTCACTACAGTGATTTTATACCTCATCTATAGTACTCCCTTTTGTATATTATTTTGTTATAATGAAATTTGAATGCTGTTAATTGGTGATAGAATCTAGTGGTGATATTTTGTAGACGGCTGTGTTGGTGTACACTGATCATGTTTGTTATCTGTTGTATTTGTAAACCTTGACCTTTCACTGTGTAGTCGGTACTGACAGTGTGTTACTAAAATTACAAACATGCAATGATGTATTAAGGAGAGTATTATTTTTACTGAACCATTGAAGCAATTGTTTATTTTGTGATTTTTTTTCGAGCCACTATCCATTTCTGTATTACACAATGAAATGTCATTTGTCAATGTGGTTTTTAGTGGGTGTGACCGCTGAATGTACAATGCAAGTAACATAACCCATGACATGTGAGAATTCTGAGGCAACTTCTATGTCAGTGACCAGTGGTCAGATTCAACGTTTGTATCAGTGACTAGTGGTCAGATTTAACATTTGTGTCCGTGACCTGTGCCAGTGGTCTAATTCAACATTTGTTTTAGTAACCAGTGGCCATGGTCTTATTTAACAACTGTGTCAGTGGCCAGTGGTTTTATGACAACATATGTGTCTAAGCAAAATCTATCCACTTGACCAGTGGTTTTAGACAGCGTTTGTGTCACTGACCACTGGCCTGAGGTGAGATGTGTGAGAGGCTAGTGATTGAAGCCATATCAGCATCAATATACACTGGTCTACGACAACTAATTAAGTTGTGTCACTAACCACTGGCCTGAGGTGATAGGTGTCCGAGACCAGTGTACTGAAGCCATATCAGTATCAATATACATGAGCACTGGTCAATAACATGTAAACCTGACCAATGGCTCGATTCAATTTGGTTTTGTCAGTACCAACTGGTCTAAAATTGTATTCACACTGGTCAGAGACAACATCTTTGTCATTGACCAGAAGTCTGATCCAACATTTGTGCCAATGGCCACTCTGTTTGAGGGCTGGACCCATGATTATTGCTTGTATTATTTCATGTGTAGATCTATTACATCATACTTCTCTTCCAACTTGGTTTCTACAATACAGAATTTTCCCCATTTAACCTGTCTTGCTGTTGTTTTTTATTACCTTTTAAAGGTTATAAGTTTACGTTAAAGTAAATCATTATGTATTGATTAGTTAATGGTAGTCACAAGTACAAGAGTTCAGCTATTCTAAAATGTATGTATCCCTTGGGTACTTTGCGAGTCAAAGGGGTATGGTTTTATATAAACTTTATCTATTTTACAACAATTATGAAACAATAAATAAAATGGATATGTTCACAACATACTCAAGCGTCACCAATAAGTGGGTTTTGAAGTTTATTGGGCCAACTAGATTCGCCTCCAAAGTTGAGGCTTCATCAGGACAATTTTACAATGTTTTAGACACCTACTTATTCAAGTACTTTTTTGGGGGTTCCCCGAAATCTTTACCTGTCCTTGGCTCCATCACCTTATTTAGATTATGAAACAAGTTATTTCAACTTATATTAATTACTGTTGTTGGACCCAGTGAGGAAACCAGGGAAACCCACGTGGACAGGCAGGTGACCCATATCTTTTCAAGAATGATTGGGGAATGGAATCCTGGCAGCCTTGGTGAAAGGCAAGTATGTTATATGCACTGCGCCACCTGATCACCCTGGTATGATTTTGCAGTAACTAAGCATTTCTCTCTAAATCTGATGGTACAGTGTACTGCTACTGTTTGTATATACATCTTTGATTGGAAAAAGACATAGAAAGTGGCAGCTGTAATACAAGTTCCATATTTGAAATTTTAATGAAGGAAATGACAGTTGGGAAATAAACAAGAGAAACCATAGACACACAACTGAAGGAAATAAACAAGAGAAACCATAGACACACAACTGAAGGAATGAACAAGAGAAATTATAGACACACAACTGAAGGAAATGACAGTTGGGAAATAAACAAGAGAAACCATAGACACACAACTGAAGGAAATGCTACTTCAGAGAGAAAGAGTTTTCTTTCAATTTTCCCCAGATAGGTGTCTTTGCCTTGATACGAAGTCAACCTTAAAAATGGTGAAAGGTGTTTAGATTTTAAATGAATTCTTCTTCTAGTGAATCATGTGACCTAGAGTACTGACATTTGGTCTGTAGCTTCTTGAGGATGTTAGTGATAAAGTATGTTAAAACAGAAAACCCTGACTCACATTCAAGATCACGAATCATTTATGTCAAAAGCAAGAACTACTAGGCATGGAGTTATTAGCTTGCTGGATTTGAATAGCCATTAAAAAAAATCAATAATTTATCTCCTCCAATATACAAGGCAACAGGTCAATTGTGTTGAAAACTTAAACCTCTTCTCAAGCATTTCAGCATTAGCACATTTTTGTGAATTTGTTATCTGAACCTCAGCATCCAAGGGGCTAAATTCTATCAAATAATTATTGAATCCCATCCCAAGTCCTAAAGACCAAAGATGCTTTGTAGCAAATTTATTTTAGATCCCTATACACATATGTATAGGTTGAAATAACAATAATCTCCAAGTCTCCAGGGATTGGACCAGACCTCTGGGCTAATTTGCAAGCATCACTATCCTAATGTCATAATGCCCAGCAAGAAGTTATAGGGCTAAAAGGTGGGAATCCCAACCATTTTGAAGCCATGATTCAAGGACTTAATTTCACAGGAGCTGGAAGGACACTTTGGGCAATTATGACAGCAGAAGTATTGTCCAAGTATATATGATCATGGGGTGGGAATCTTAATTGTTTCTATGTTATGACCCATTGACTAAGTCACCAAAGGCAGGGTTACATTCTTGGGCCAAACCTAGTAGTATTAGTGTGTTTGTACATCCTTAGAAGTCAGTTCTGGAAGCATTATTATGTTGCACCCTTCTTATCAAGCAATTTCGTATAAGGTTTGGATCAAAACCAGTTCCATGCTATGATCCAAAGACTAAGTCCCTAGAGGCAGAATTAGAGGTCAATCCTGGAAGAATGATGTATGTACTCCCCATGCTTAACAATTAGTACGTGGTTATGGTAGGGATCTCAACTGTTTCCATGTTATGTCTCCGGGACTAAGACCGCAGGGGCTGGGGCAGACAATGGAAACAATCCTGGTGGCATAATTGTAGTATCTACATACTGCATGCCAGCAACTGTGAGGTTATTATTGGATGTGGTTTTTGGCTGCTTCCAGGATTGACCCCGGGTTCTGGCCCAGGGTCAGTCCTGGTGGTACGATTATGTTCATTTCTCTATTCCCAGCAATCGTACATATGCTTATTCAGGAGGGTTGTACCAGAGAGTCAATATTGGTAGCTTGATATTGTTTTTGTTTCTTTATGCATATCAATTATAAATACATGGTTCTGAGGTGGGGATCTCATCCGTTTCCATGTTATGACTCAGGGACGAGTCATCAAAGGCGGGCGAGCAAGCGACACATCCTAATAGCACTAATGCATTCAACTGTTTATGGTAATCATAAATGTGGTACTGGGTGGGATCGTTCATCGTTTTACATCCTATGGCTCAATAACGAAGTCCTGAGGGATGAAGATGGACCCATGAGCCAATTCTTGTCACAGTATGCCGTCTGTCAATTCATGCCCAGTTATTTATTTATTATTATAAAGTGGACTTCTCAACTGTTTCAATGTTATGAATAGTCTTGTTTACGATGTAAGGATTAACTTTTTTCGCTGTTGGGTCCCTCCCTTCTATCGCTAAGTTGGTCATGCACTTTATTTATTACAAAACGAGTCCCTTTGGCCCAGTGATACTTCAGAACAAATTTGACTCGCGTCCTTTCATTGGTTCTTTTGCCCGCAAAAGGGATAGTACGGATGTCATATGCTTCACTGATACAACATTGAGTACCTTGGCCCAGTGATGCTTCCAAATCTGGTGAAAATCTCATTATCTGTTCAGGAGGAGTAGGCTTTTAATGAACATATTACGGACAGAAAGACTGGCGAATCACGCCCCGCCGCGGCATAGCTTTGATTGTCTGCCCCTTTATCTGGTAGTTTAATCAACTAGGGAGTATTTTCTAGTTTGAACGCTGAAATACTTTCTGTAATTTCTAGATAGCTGGACTTGGTTTTTATTATGCGCCATTTTGTCTAATTAAAATACTCCTTTTTGTTTTCTGCAGTTTAGTTCTAAACATTTACTCTTATTCTTTTTAGTGTTATTATTTCAGTTTCAGACAAATAAGTTTCCGAATTCTATAGCTAGCTCTCGGACTATTACTACTTCAGAGTGGTTGTTTCCGCAAGTATAAAAAAAAAAATGGCCGGAGAATGAAAATAAAACAAAAACATATCCATTCATATTTATTTCAATAGTATCTTCTCTAGACCTTCAGCCCGTCCGGAAGTGATTTGATAAGCGCTTTTGCATATGCACGGTTGCGCGCTCGTCTACGTCTGTGTCTCAGAAGGATCTTCGGTCGTGGGCACGGAGGGAGTTGGGGGAACATTAAGGATTCGGCTGGAAAGACACGAGTATATATAGGATAATCATAAAGTGTATACCTTAACTCATGCAGGTACTGGGCATAATGCTAACAGATTTATGACCTATCGTCATATTACATTTATATGCCTTACTAGTATTCCTTTGCTATTCAAAAGCAATCAGATAATATTGTGTTTTATTCAAAAACTAAACGTTTATATTTTCATTGTTCATACGATGTGCATACTTCACGATAAATAAGTTGGAATTGTTATCTTTTTTGAATGTCATTTTGTTGAAACAGCATAAAACACAGAGAGAAATATCAGCTGGACAACTAAAATTAATAATAAAGATATAATTTATTTATTTATTTATTTTAACATATTTTATTACCATTGTTTAGTTATTCAATTCGGCATTTGATATGTATTTTATCATGTGTCGTTCTATGAACGGGTTTGAAGATTGTATCTGGTCCCATCAGTTACTATAAAAAATACTACAAAAATGCTCATTTCGAAATTGATACTTGAAAAGGGAAACATGGTGAACATGTCAAATCTGTCGATAATGTAAGCATTATAACACAACAGACGTGTTCCTACAAGTAAGATTTGGGACTATTTACTTTCCAGTTCGTCCGGCACATGGATAGGAGACGGGTCTGGCAGTTTGTCTTGGTCGTCTTCTGAAACAGATTCGTATACTAACAGTCAAGTAAACATATAAATGTACACGTCCTATCGTGAATGTCTGTAGCCGTGAAGTAATAAATGATAACTTCATGGTAAAGAATTGTCACAGAACATTTTAATTTTTCTTTATGATACATGAACAACAGAAAATTCATCGCATCCTTCTTTCTCAGAATCAATTTTATTGTTTTCGACGGCTTTTTGTTCCCATACAATCTCCATGTTTAAGAATGTGATCTTGTAACAGGAAGAAGATGATAAGGAGACAATATCAAGTTATTGGAAGTAAAAATTCGAAGTTCCAGGTAAGCATACAAAAGGAAAGGGAAAAAAATGCACGGTCAGAACAGGATTCGAACCCGGGACCTCCGAACGCTAGACGGACGTACGCTCGATCAAGTCGCCAGCGATCGACCAAATCCAGTTCCGCTACATTCGAATTCATCCATCCTTTATCAAAGTCTTCGACTTCGAAGACACACGAGACACTAAACCATCACACGTGGGTATATTTCATCGGACACCAAATGTAACAGGAGAGAAAAAATGCAACGGCCAGACTTTGATTCGGACCCGAAACATAACTGTTTAGATACTTTGTACAGTTTACATAATCGTTACAATAAATACTTCTTTGCCCATATGTCTATTTAAGTTGTTCGGATCCAGTGCCAATATTGGATCATACTGTCGTTATTACTTATGAGACCTATATCATAATCATTACAATATATATAATATGTAACAGGAAAGAGAATAGTGTGCTTCCATTGGGGATCGAACCCTCGATCTCAGGTTCGTAGTCGGACGCTCTACCATAGTAATATAAAGTTACGTTTTATAATTTAAAGTACACAATTCCGAATGTAGTAAACATTTGAAACAATAGTAAGCAGTTGAAACAATGTATATCCGTACAGTGTATAGATTTTATGTACAATGAAGATGTACTCGAGTTCATGACTTAATTCTCCGAACAATTTATTTATGTTTACTATGAACACTGTAAAGCTCTTACCTGCTTTTTTCTCTAAAATCTTGGTCACCTCATGGAGCGCCATGGTGACAAGTGTCATCCCGAACATGTCGCCTTGAAATGAATAAAGTTGAGTTTTTATGCGTGCTTTTAACTAGAGACAGTATGCAATACAGTAATATAAAGGTTGAGGGGACTTCGCTACAAAACACTCAATTTTAACGTGGCTTGCTAACTAAAAGATATCCTTAAATTAACGACATAACTTGAATTCGTTAGGAAAGTGAAAATCTGTACTGGGTCCCGTAAAATCGGTGTGGCGACATTACTTTATAGCTGAAAGGTTGTGTGTTATCCCTACGGTCGAGTTGTATGTATCCGGTCATATTCGCCGCACAAATGCAAACATCTCAACATTGGACAGACGAGGGACAATCAACACTACACTATCAAGCAGAATGATCAGATACATAAATATCTGTACAGTAGACAGTGAAAAAGACATCGGAGTCATTGTAGACAGCAAGGCAAAATTTGTAAATCACATATCAACCTCTGTATCAAAAGCCAACATGAACATAGGACTTATCTTTAGAACTTTTACATTTATGGACAAAAATATGTTTTTATCACTGTACAAAACTCTCGTCCGCCCAACCCCTTGAATATGCAAGTGTTGTCTGGTCACCATATTTGCTAAAAGACATCAAACCACTGGAAAATGTACAAAGGAGGGCAACTTGTCTAATTCCCAGTCTAGCAAACAATCTAGGATTGCCTACTTTAGAGTACAGAAGACACCGAGCTGACCTGATCCAAACGTACAAGATCCTAGAAGGAATAGACATTGTAGATCACAGCAAAATGTTCACTAAAACCTAGGATTCCAGAACAAGAGGGAACAACAAAAAACTGTTTAAAAAGAGAGCCAACAGACAATTAAGCAGTTACAGCTACAGCAACAGGGTTGTGGAGTCCTGGAATAGTCTGTCAAACCATGTGGTAAATGCCCCTAGTGTAAATAGATTTAAACACAGACTCAACAAGTTTTGGTCTGAACACCCCTGTAAATTCAATGCCTCCTGCTATCTAGTCAGATCATTTAATATCTTAACTCACCTTTTAACTGTAAGATTTCTGGATTTTAATTCCTCTATATCAATTAATACGCACCGAAAGTGGAGTATCAGTATAGGAACATTAAAATGCGCCGCAAGAAGCTACCTGAAGCTTTCCATTGGTGCCGACAACTATATCGTATTGTAAATCCTAATTAAAAATGAAGGCATCGGGCATGACAGAATATTTCGTAGAAATTACTTCACATTGCTTCTACTTGAAACACAATATGATTCGTTAATTCAAAATATTTGTAGAAATATTGGGGAGCGAAAAGATCGTATAATGAAAATGTTTGATGCTAGATGTACTTGCGATGATCGAGCCGACAGACGTGTCGATACATACCTTTTTTTCATAAGTAACATGTAACGCAAGACTCCACGGCACGGCTTGGTAACTAAGGGGCAATAATACAAACCGCGTCACAATCGGTGCGCGTCATAAAGGTAATGTGACGTAGCATATAAATAACGTCACAATCAGTATTGCGTTACAAAGGTTACATGTGATCGTACATTCAGCATCACTCAGAGCTTGGTGCCAAAATTACAATTTTAACCATTTGTCATGAGTGTAGCTTTAGCACTGCTCAAGTCAAGCTAAGGCGGTCATACTCCGGCCCAAGTTTCACGAATGTTCCTTTAGGACATATCTTTACTTATGTTTTAGTCCAGTCATTAAAGATTTATTTATTTATTTAATTTATTTTTCAGAAAACTACTAAATACTAAATAAACCTCTGAGATCCTTCTCATGAAATACCTCACCTGGTGCTCCATTCTCTGAATGCATGGATTTATATTTCCAGGATGGACTCTCAAGCCGTTTGTCGCCCCACTTCGCAAGACGTCTCATATGCGCTTGGAGAGTGTCTATTATTTTAGCATCATCAGGAAAAGGGTAGTTAGCAGCGTTGAAAATATCTGATAAATGTTTACTAGTATGAACAGAATGGGTCCCAGGACGGATCCTTAGGGTTCCCCGCGATGCTGTTGAAGTCCAACTTTAGTGTTGTTTTCTTTAAGAGATACTACTTGTTAAATCCGTTTGAAATTAAGTGAAGCTTGTCGTCCAGTTAATAATCTGTTCGCTGAACCCGTAAGATAACATTATTAATTGCAGTTGTAATTTTGAAATTAAAATTTTAGAAATCGGCATAACGTTCTATTTGTGTCAAAGCAATATCTGTAATGTATGCAAAACAAAGGCTTGTTCCCGTTCCCTCCACCTTAAAACCAAATAGTGATACTGTTAACTGATATATGTATCATGGGTCATTGATTCAACATCTAACTATGGATTTAGGAACTTATGAAGTAATATTTTTTCGCAAATGAAAAGAGTCATTAATAGTATCACGGAATTAGATTATGTTATCTAAGTCCGTGATAGTATTCTTTCTATAGTTTTCGTAAAAGAAATCAAGAAATTCACAAATAGTGCAGGAGTTTATGATTTTTGACTTAATATGTTTGCCTTTGTCACTCAATCTCAAGATCAAACCACACCATCGTCTCCGCGGTAGGTTTGGGTCTATGACCAGTTGAATCACGGAATTAGATGAGATTTATCTAAGTCCGTGGTTGAATGAATAAATATACTGATTCTGTCTTCCTTTGTTGTTTTATAAAGCACGTCGAACAATGGTTTAAGATTAAATTTATTTTCCTTTGAAATAAAAGTGATCAGTAAATACTAAAAAATGCATAGGCTCTCAAAATACTTCGTCTTCACTACAATGACGCTTTCCGACAGCAGTTGGGACGGGCCGCGTTTTAACCAGTTCCTAGAAATGAGAAAAAGGGGGGGGGGGGGGGGGGGGGAGGAAGGAAGAAAAAAGAAACATATCAATCGATTAATTCCCATTTTCACATTTTTTTTTATACCTTTGGGCGACCGTTAGTAACGTTACATAGAAAATAAAATTACAACACGCTTTGCAAAAATACACTGCCAGCATCCTTAATTTATGAATTATGTTGCACGTTTCCCTGTCGGAGTTGTCTCCCATTGTAAGCTCGATGACGCTGTAACGGAAGTTGACAAAATCAACGTTAGGATGGCAGCTACTGAGAAAAATGTGAACCTTGGACTGCCCGATTTATCTGGCTTGTCTGAAGCCGAGGCTCTTCAGGTCATGGCAGTCATGCAGAGGGCTAAGGTATGTTGTTTTCATTATCAAAGTGGGAGTATGCACCGGTCTCATGTTGACCGGAAGCTTCTAGCTGTGTTGTCATATGCTCCCGTCATTGATCCATAACGATTGGACAAGCTCCGGTCACCCGACATACGCGTACGATATTTACATACTTGAGGTTTCATAAAGTTTCTTACGAACCGTGAAAGGAACTCGATTAATCTTGGAGTATACAGCAGATGTCACAGGAATTCGTCATTGGGTAAGCGTAGGCCAATAACTGTTTATGGAGGAAAACATTCAAATATGTGAACTTTGAAGGAGGATACACATTTTGCAAGATTCTCCGAACAGTTATATATTGAGCTGCAGTGAAGTTAAGTAGGGCAAGCATATTTACCTGCTCCACCCCCTTTTCTATGACAATAACCTCCAATTTGATTGGTGATTAATTTAACGATTTGCATTTTAAGGCAAAGGGATGATCCATCACAACTCATCATATTTGAATATATTATTGCCATCCCTGTAACTTGTGTACAGCGTACATGATTGGTTAGTTTTATAGACACTTTATAGTAAACTAGTTCTATACCAACCATATACAGTATTTTGTCCAGTAGGAGATGGTGCCCCCTCCCTATGTATGATGTCATTCAGTCACCATACCATTACCACTGCCCCCCCCCCCCCCCCCCCTGAAAAGACACAGTGTATCACTTTTTACATACATTCAATGATTTGTTATAAGTGTGGAAGAATTTAATTTTACATGGGATACAAATTTCCTTTTAGCTCGGTGGTAGAGCGTCTGGCTAGAAAGTCTGGGATCACAGGTTCGGTCCCTGTTGGAGGCACACTATTCTCTTTCCTGTTAAAAATGGTGTCCATGGCCCTCCCCGTGGTGACAGCTAGGGAGTTAGAACCTGGGTTGTGTGTTCGAGGGCAAACACATTTAAAAAGGGGGAGTGGTGTACGTGGCAGATTTTAATTGTACATACATGTAGGATTACGGTCGCCTTCTGGCTTCGTGTTAGAGAGATTTTCCAAATTTCTCTTCAGCACAGTGGTAGGAGCGTCCGACTAGGAACTATGGGATCTCGGGTTCGATCCCCGGTGGAAGCACAGTACTGCTCTCTTTCTTGTTACATAAGTAACTTTCAACATTTCAAGCATGAGAATTAGTCAATTAAGGTAATAGGATTGTGTCACCATTTCTCAGTAGAATTTCTTCAAATTTTGTAGTTATATTGCTTTAAAGTAAAGAAAATTTTCTGCCACAAAAAAAAATATATGTTGTCAGAATTTTAAGGATTTTAAATGGAAATTTATGTAAAAAGGAGTGAATTTTGAAAAAAAAATGAAAGACAATATTTTTTCAAAATAAAGTCAATAAAAATGATACTGACATATATTAGTATTGCATTAATGTATATCAATTTAATAAATGCTGAAATTGTGTAAAATTAATTCTCTATACACGATATAAAAATTGACATTTTATAATAAAACCATATACACATAGTAATTGCAGGTAAGAGTTATCGTTCTTGAAAAACTTCACAGTAGTGAAATAGGTAGCCGGTTTCCTGAAGTACAGAAAAATGGACACACGTGACTCATTGATAAAAGAAAACCTGAATTAATGCCTGGATTGCTTTGATATACTTTAATATTGAGAGAACACACTGTTCTGTCAATAATAAACATACAATATTCATCAATTTAATATTAAACATTAGAATTTGCGGAAATTGTGATGCTGTCTCCCTACATTGGTTATTCAACTAGGGATGTACTTCCTGTTTCCGTTTATCAATACACTCCAATGACCTTAATGATGAACAAGTTCAACAAATGGCATAGTTAAAAACACTTACATGTGCACGTGTATTTTTGGTGCTTTGTATGTTATCAGAAGAAATGAGATATTTCCCAACAAACCTTTGTTTCAGCAGAATATCGCATTCCATTTAGTAGATAGTCTTGGTCGTTATGGGCAAACGAAACAGTTCTGCTTAATTAAACAAATATTATGTTATATATATTAGACTTGAAAAAAAATGTATCTGTCACTGTGGTGGGTTGGGAACACCTAGCTAGCTTCTCAATTGTGGAAAGAGGTCCTCATCAAATTGTGTTCCTCCTGACTGAGGTCCTTCTCCATGTCATCGGTATTAACTACATGATCTCTGGACTATACTCTTCATTCTTTAAAGGAGTGTCTTCAAACCTCCAAAGTTTTGTTTGTGCCATAAGAGTCTTCAATTGTCTTAAATAATATAGCACCTTAAATGTAATTCTAATCAGTCTATACAGATAAACTGTTTTTTAGGCCTCTAACAAGAGAAAGAATGAGTGAACTGAAAGACTTTGAAAATCAACAACTTATAACATAACACAGGAAAACTTGAAAATCAAAGCTTGTTTTCTTTTATAGTTTGGTCTATTGCGTAGGTTTGTCACTCTGTGTAATCTGAAATTTACGCATTACATAGACCGGATAACTGTTGTCTTTCATACCATGGGATGATGAGTAACTCTCTCACACAGCTATCAAATACTTCCAGTCATAAGCCAATTGCTTTATTACACAAGATGACAGACAGTGGTAAATCACATACATGTATAACATACCGTTATATGTATATATTTCATCTTTCACAGCCCTTAAGATTTTTTTAGTTATTTCACTAGTAATACGTGTTATATCCATGATTGAACACCTGCAGTGGGAGATCATGGAAATTTGTCACATGGAAGCTGACAGGGTATACCAGGTGTGATGTGTAGTTAATTACCTCGTAGACATCCCAGCCTCCAACTAAATCAGATTTGACCCGATGCATGTCAATGAATGACACTATTATCAGCCCCAAACCAGAAGTTTCACACTTTAACTCTGCCACTAACCCTTTTCTCCGTCGTCCGTCCTTAAAAAATTCTTGTTATGGGTATTTCTCAAGAAGTACCAGAGGGATCTTTCTCAAATTTTATATGTAGGTTTCACTTGGTCCTTATCTGTGCAGGGCAACTTTTGAGACTGATCGGATAAACAACATGGCCGACAGGCAGCCATTTTGGATTTTGATAGTGAAAGTTTGTTATCGTTATTTCTCAAGAAGCACCAGAGGGATCTTTCTCAAATTTTATATGTAGGTTCCCCTTAGTCCATAGCTGTGCAGGGCAACTTTTGAGACCGATCGGATAAACAACATGGCCGACAGGCAGCCATCTTGGATTTTGATAGTGAAAGTTTGTTATCGCTATTTCTCAAGAAGCACCAGAGGGATCTTTCTCAAATTTTATATGTAGGTTCCCCTTAGTCCATAGCTGTGCAGGGCAACTTTTGAGACCGATCGGATAAACAACATGGCCGACAGGCAGCCATCTTGGATTTTGATAGTGAAAGTTTGTTATCGCTATTTCTCAAGAAGCACCAGAGGGATCTTTCTCAAATTTTATATGTAGGTTCCCCTTAGTCCATAGCTGTGCAGGGCAACTTTTGAGACCGATCGGATAAACAACATGGCCAACAGGCAGCCATCTTGGANATATTGCAATGATCGATTCTATTTCTTTCACATTAAGTACTGTACTAGTAAATATGTGAAATGACAAACTCACTTTGAAGGTTGGCTTTCATACACATCAGATCAAAAGTTACCTCAAGGTGCTTTTACTGTTAACATGACTCGATCAAACAGATTAGAGGAAAGAAGAGAAAAGATCGAACTGACAAAGAACTAATGAAGATGGTACAAAGGTGGGCACCAAGATCCCTCTGGGATCTCTTGTTTATGTTTGAAATGCTCAAATTTCAAAGACCTAGTTTTCTGTAATATTAATGGAAAGATTGGTTGGAAAATTCTGTAGAAAAATAAATTTAAAACCCATATTTTTTAATAGGAATAATGACAGTTATATGTCATTTTCTAACTTGATTAATAGGTGGTCGTGTGTCATATATATGGAATTCTTCACAATCATAACTGGTGTAGTACATGTGGTACCATTTACCGTAAACCCTCAAAAGCTATACAAAACAGTTCCAAAATCTCAATCCTGATGTAGAGTAATTGTTTATTCTTGAAATTTGCAAATGTTTACCTTCTGTTGACAATTATTTTGAATTGGACAAAGCTTAAGTTTACTACAGAATTGGTATAATTATAACATGAGGAGAAATTTAAGCTGTGTGACCATGTGACGTTACAGAGTAAACACTAACTATTTTTGCTTGGTATTCCACAGAACAAGTAGTACCAAGGTTCTCAACAATGCCATGTGTATCCCAAGCCTGAAATAGAAAATTAATTGACTTAAGGGACATGCATACAAGTGTATAATCTCTATTAGCAATAATAGTATACGGTGGAGTCCAAAGAAGTCTTTAACAATTCACAAGCATCATTTCTGTTTTTTAAGCAGTTTTTGGAAAAGGGGTATTTTTATTTATCTGTCAAATAAGTATTGTGATACCACAATTTTACGAGTATGATCTAGGTAAGTTAAATTACAAGTCCTTACCAATCTATCAACTCTGGCCTAGCTTGTATAAAACTACTTAAGTATTGAGATTTCCTTAAATCTGAGGGGCTTGGGACTATAGAGCCAAGAGGTCATAATGTTAAGCCTGGGGTTTTTTTCAGGATTATTTTACGGAAATGGTCACAAATGCTAAAAACAATAATCAAATGATAAATGATCATGCAATTCTCTATTTGCTAGATACATTTGTATATATTGCTTCAGTTCTAGCTTCCCCCCATTATTCCATATATATATATAGGGCCTGTTACGTTGTGCTTAAAAAAAAAAGTAGTACATGAAGTTATTCTAGGTAGTTGTCTGTCTACTTTTCAGTGACAACTTTTCAGTGATATAGTTGATGCTGGTATTGATTATTAGTTAGGTAAGTCTCTCACGTTTCTCAGTCTGACTAAGGCTGTGAATAGGTCTGATGTTTTCTATTGATTTTTTATTTAGTTATGGTTAACTTACAGTTTCAAGTCCCATTTTCACTTACTTTAACTTGGATAGACCAACACCATTCATTGCATGTCCATGGATACGTAACATATATGTATAGGACCTGTATGAGCCTTAGTGTATATACTGTGCAGACATGTTCAAGACAGAATCTTTTTCTGTGAACTATTGAAGGATCCAGTGCATTTCAAATTTACCAATAATCCTTATATATGTTCATCCATTTTTGTCAGAGTTGGACAATACCTTTGATAATGACTGACACGAATG